CCCTAAACTTTAAGGGTTTGGGGTAAAGGTTCAGGAGCTTCAGAGTTGACGCGCTTTACAATTGGGGTCAAGGTTCTCGGGCTTTAGAGTGTAGGATGCTTTAAAGGGATCTATAAGGGCTCCTTAAAGGGATCTATAAGGGTTCTATAAAGGGTTTAGGGTTTCCGAAAATTGGGGGCTAGGTGCCCAGTAGTACCCTTATTCCCTTTTTGTAGTCCTAGGTTCCTTATGAAGTTATCCAATATCAAAAAGGGAGCCCCTTTGATTCCTAGCTTACTGGGCATCCTAGGAGTTGACGCGCTTTGCAAAGGTCTGAGAGCAGTATTCAAGGCTTCATGGGACTTTCAGTCAACAAAGGTTGAATGGAGTTGACATACTGGTACCGGGATACTAGCGCCGTACATGGTCTCTGTATAGTTATAGTGACGCACACCCCCAAAACCCAGTTCTAACACAAAAACCTGCCTTAAGCCTTCTCCTGAACCATGGCAATGTATATGGACGTGCGATCCTTTAGAATTAACATGGTAACATAGAAGCTTGAAAGAATTACCATTCTGATTCCTTAGAGTTCTTTACCAAGACTTTTCATGACATTCTAGATACAGAAATATATGTCTATCTGTATCTCTACATATGTATATACATATGTTTATATTTATCCCCCAAACGCCAGTCTAGTTGTTGAGGCCCCGATATTATGCCCTTATTGGCCCTGTCCGCATTCTTTTTTGGACCCACGTGTTTTAGAACCCATCGAGCAACGCTGCTCTAATTTTTAAAGTCACGTTGTCACCTTTATGTAAGGCGACCCAGATCCTGCATAGAAAAGCAAGCACATGATCATGCCCACCAGGGATCCAGCATTTAGGTTTGGTGAGAGTTTGTTGGGTATTGGCCTTAATTATCGGGTTTAGATGGTTTCAGGTTGATGGTTTCTGGTGTATTTGTTTTCTAGGGTTTGTTGAGGTCAGGGTTTAAGGTTCATGGGCTGATTGGGTTTTGGGATAGTGCTCCAAGCCGGACACAGGGCTCAAAGCCCTGAACCCTTAAGGGTTTAGGGTTTAGGGTAGGGTTTAGGGTGAGTCTTCCTGGAGGCATCCTCGTCGCGAGGCATAGCCGCGCGAAAATGGGAGCATCAGAGGAGATGGTTTTTTCGTGGAAGTTTTGACGGTTGCTGCCATACGAGGTCCACAACATAGGACTTTGGAGCAGCAAATTAATTTTTGTACTTGTACTTTGTTTTTGGAACAAGATACACTGTCCGACTAAAGATCAGAAGGTGGTGGGGTTCGGGATTCAAGAGCTTTTTAGGCTAATGACTCAGCAGGGCATTCGGCGTTTAGGATGAAAGGTTTACGGCGTAGGGTCGGTTTCAGAGTTGAATTGAATACAAGGCCGTTCCAAAAAGATGCACCTTCGTGGTATAAGGTCCCAAATTACGGATTCTGCTTTCTAGATTCTCCCAGAGGTTTGGGTGAGGCTTGAAACAACTCGGTGAAACCCACAAGAATGCTTGCAAGACCGTATAGGTCCAGACAAAGCCGTGTACAAATTGGTAAAAACCCTAACCCGACAGGCCCGAAACGCTAAACCCAATGAAGCCCCCCGACCATAAACTCTTATGACTCTACAAAGTCGTTTACAACCTAATAGCCTTACAATCTAATCATATCAAACCTTGTAACCCTACAAACCCCTGTAGCACTTCATCTAAAGCCCTACCCTAGCGCTCCAGTTACCTAGATAGTAGGTTACTGGGTATATACTATATGGTTAGTAGCCTACTATTTAGGTAACTGGAGGTACAGGGCTGTTCAGCCTGAACCCTAAACCCTAACCCCTAAACCCAGAACCCTAAAACCCCTAAAACCCACAACCCTCAAACCCCTATAGCACTTTCTGAAACCAGGATCCTTCCGAAGCGCCGACCTCAGCGCCCTTGCGGCGCTGGAACTCCGAAGCCCTTCGGCAGGCGGCTTTTGAAGAAAGCCTTTTTGGGGGCGGTTAGCGTCTGTTGTTTAGGGTTTAGGGGTTTGGGTTTAGGGGTTAGGGTTTAGGATTTATAGGGTCTGGGGTTTAGGGTTTAGGGGTTTTAGGGTTGGCGTTTCGGGCTTAGGGTTTGGTGTGAAGAGTGGCTTTTCGGGTCGTTCAGGGTTGAGTTAGAGGGTAGTTGGGGGGGTCTAGTGGGGTTTCGGGTACAGGGTTTAGGCTTTGGAATTACTTCAACGGGAGTTCCTATCCGCCACGCAGGAGGGCTTCAGTGGGTCAGTTTAGGGGTTAAAGGGCGTAGGGCTAATGGGGCTTTAGGTAGCCCAGAGGGTCCAAGTACCCAAGTAGTAGATCCCAAAATCCATACCCTGAATGAGTTTCGGACCTTGAAAGCCTACTAGTTGGGTACTTGGACCCTTAGGGTTTGGGGCATCTTGGTCTCCCACAAAAAGCAGGGGTCGACTATTGGATATATAGTATCCCCACATAGTATAGTCCCTATCTTTGTTACAGTACGTATTGATCATACAGTATCTCCCCTATAGTATAGCCCCTATCTCAAGTAGAATGCACCTCCAACGCCTCACCAAATTTCTGAGGCTACTACATTTCAGCCTGGCCTCTGATATGAATGCATGACTACTTCTAGACCATTCTAGGCTCTGATCTTTGAACCAAGTGCTCTGGCGCTTAAGGTATCCAAACCTACCTGAACCCTATAAATGGAGGTTGTTAACTTCTGCTTTCCTCGTAGGTGTCCATCTGGGCTTTGGAGTACCATACTTTAGTACTTTTTTCTTAATGGAACCATTATGAAATAAAAGTTTATACTTTTTTCTCCCTGGTTACTTAAAAGCCCAGCCATAGTGAGTAGGTAGGTTTTTTGGGGGCCAAGGTCAGCCTTAAGCCTGTACCCCAAAGCGGAAACCAGTGTTTGCTTCCATGGATTTTGCAGGAGATCGCTTCCGCTGCTGCGAACCGACGCCGCTGCTTCCAACCCCGGCGTCCTACGATGGAAAGGTAGTTTCAGGGCTCGGGTTTGTGGCTTAGGAGCATCTGCAAGTCCCGCAACCTAAACCATAGGACCGTAGGAAGGAGAGCTTAAGATCGTTCTTGCTGAGAGGCTGTGGAAGCTTTTGGCTTGGCAATGCTCCGACATAATAGTAATAGTAGTAAGAATGAAGTAAAGATAATCTAAATAGTAATACTAATAGTAATTATAATTGCAATAATAGTAATAATCATAAGATAAAAATAAAAGTAATAGTAGTATAGTAATAGCAATGGTAAGGCATCCCTTATGCTCCGACAGTCCCGAAATCGACTCGTTCCTCGCTCTTCGGCCCCCTTGTGCACCGGATTATCGGCATCGCGAGACTCATGGTCACCTTGTGGAAGGGAAATTGAGGCTCGATGGTTTAAGTTTAGGGCTCATAATGTAGGAACCTGATTAAGAGACCCTGGGCCTAGCACCCCAAAATAGTAGGATTCACATAAGGAACTCCAAAAAAGGCCCAAGGTTTCTTAATCAGGTTCCTACATTCGGCTACAATGGCGTCGAAGCCGCGTGTATCCCAAATCGTCGAACTAATTTAAAGCTTTGGCAATAACCCTAAGGCTCCATGTACCCTTATAGTAGATACTTAGGCCTTAAAGTACCTATATATAGGGACTACTTTGGGGCTTAAGTATCTACTATAAGGGAACATGGAGCCTTTGGGTAACAGAACCTTTTATAGAAGGGCGCTCCTCGCTTCTGTCTGGCTCTGGCCTAGGGGTTAGAAGCACTTGGGCCCAGACACCAGGAACTGTAAACCCGAAATTCGTGTGGTCCGAAGCCCAAGTCCCGATATGCAGGAAAGTGAAATTTTTGAACTAGTTGTGGCAGTAGTAGCAGTGGTGGCATTTGCCGTCGCAGCAGCTGTAGCTGTAGAACTGTAGCAGTTGTACTAGTCGTGGTAGCACCGTAGCAGTAGTACTACGGTTGATGATATAAATCTGCATTACCTGAAGGACCCTAAACTATGGGAATTATGGTATATTCCCTATTCTGAGTAATGCAGGATTTATATCATCAACCGTAGTAGTGGTGGTACGGTAGGAGTGGGTACCCGTCGAAGAGCCTCCCTTGTAGAGCTCAGGAGCGAGCAAAGATCCTCGGAGAATCCTTCGTTTCGGCGTTGAAGCCCTGCTCCCCCAAAAAGGGTTTAATGTAGAGGCCTTAAGAATAGAATAAGTATAAGGTTTTGGGGCCCATTATTATACTATAGTTATGATAAGGGACCCCCCAAAATAGTAGTGGTAACGATTCAGTCGGGTTTAAGCCCTAGTAGAGTTTAGGGTGAGTCCCAAACTCGAATCTCGAGCTGAGGACAGCTCTCCGTGTACGCTGAGTCGTCCTCCTCGTCATCGAGTTTGCCCGACTTCGGACAAAAGTGCAAAGCGTTTGGGTCCAGGATCTGGCTTTCCTGCTTCGCGATACCGATGAATACCCAGCAAACTCACGCCTTTTCCCCGACGGGGCCGGGCAGGGACTGGGGAAATGGCATTCCCTCCCTGTAAGTTCAGTTCAGGGCGGCAGTTAAGGTGGAACAAGGGTTCCTTCGAGAGAAGGTCCATCGAAAGAGCAACCCTGGCCCTCCAGCATGCCTTCAATGATTGTGCCGCCTAGTCAGTGGATGGAGCCCTTTTGAGTGTTTTGGGTCCTCCCTTACTGCGAACAATACCGCCAATCGATCAGAAAATGATGGTAAGACTTGTTTTTCGGGTTCTACTGAGCCCCCGAATCTTACCTATCAGGGTCGTACATACCAAACCCCAAGCCCTAAACCCCGAACTGAACCCTAAATTCCAAACCCTGAGGCTCTACTTGGAGGGGCAGGGGACTTAGCAAGAAGCTTATAAGTAGGGTCATAACTGGGGTAACTCCATTTAGGGTACTTATAACTCTACTTATAACCTACTTACTAAGTCCCCTGCCCTTCCAAGTAGAGATCCGTCTTGCTGAGGCGTCTCGTACCTCGCCCGATGCATCTTTATAGCTCGCAAGTCACAGGCTCCGAGCTTGGTGGGGTGATCTTCTTCTGAAGATTCCGCGGGGTTTCTTTGGGGTTCTTTACGAGACGCTTGTGGCTTCTTTTGGGCAAAGGGTTTAGTGTTCCGGTTTCTGCAGTATCTGTGGTTCAGGCTGGAGGCGCGTAGAGCTTTGGAATTTATCAGGCTGGGGATACTTCTCCAAACGTGGTTGATGGCTTTGCGCTTGAGTCCAGCAGAGGTACTACACAATCACAGTGAATCTCTGGGGCCCCCTAAACTGCGGCCTCAATCCTGACCCCTACAGCCCAAATCCCCAAATCCCCAGCACCCTAAACCCCAGAACCCCGAAACCCTATATACACCCTACATGCAACTTCGGCCCGAAGAAACCTGCATCTGTTTCTTTATAGAATTGTAAATTCCTCAAAGCGGTAGGTTTTTTGGAGTTCAGGTACTCCCTAAACGCGACCCAGGGGTTGATCCAAGTCTCGTGGCTTTTCGGGGTTGAGGGATGTTTAGGGTCACGGCTATACAGTTTAATTTGGATTATCGGTTTAGGTTTCAGGCGAGTAGTTTTGCAAACTGCTGAGGCTCGCCTATGGTGGTCGTTCTGTTGTTCCTCTGGATGTTAGTCAGGTTGTGACACTGTTTCTGATTGCCAACTGCAAAGAATGCAAGCTGATTCTCTCTTGCGAAGTGAAGCGACGACATTTTCTGCTGTGATGGCAGCTAGCCATATAGATCTACCTAACGCAAATCTCAAAAGGGCCCTCCAGAAACAGCTACTTTGAATATCTGATTTCGGATAGCAACTATCCGAAAGAGCGGCCCAACACCCAAATGCTGTAGCAGCTCCCCACCTGCTTCGTCTAAAGTGGAAAAGGAGGGACCCTTAATAAGGTAATATACCCTTAATATAGCTTTTATATATTATACCCATGATATAGACCATTATAGGCTAAGGGTCCCCTTTAAGGGTCCCTCCTTTTCCCCTTTGATTCGTCTAAGCATCATCGAGTCTAATCTGGAAACATCCGCAGACTCAGGCGAACTTGTTGGACATGCTCAAACAGTACCGGGTGGAAGAGAAGAACATCAAGAATCAATGGCACAACATCTTCCGCGACAAGTTGCGGGCACAGAGCAAAGGCCTTGCAGGAATTGGACATACTACAGAGCAAGCATGCCTTTTCTGGGTGGCATCTGCTATGTGCAGCCTCACTCGGCCTTATCGAGTCCGGACACAGCGCACCGCTGCTTGGAGTCGCTGATTGCATAGACGCGATGTGGCACCGATGCTAAGCAGTCTCTGACAGAGAGTACTATTGCGATCAGCCGGAGCCTGCAACGTGTGCGGATCTGTCACTCTCTCCATGAATGGCACTTAGAAATGATTTCTAATTTTTGGTTATTATAATCCCTAAGAAACAGCTAAAATTCTAATTTTTGCTAGGCTTCTAAGTTCAGTGTAGATTCCTCCAGGACCCCCCAAGTAGCCTTTAATAAAGCCCTTATGGTCCCTAATAGTGGGTATTTAGGGTATGTTAGAGGGTAGTTGGGGGGTCCAGGCTTGAACCCCAAAATCCCAAGCAGCCCGAAGCCCCAGGCTATGGACCAGAAATCCTCAGCCCTAAAGCGGAAGTTGGCTCTGAACCCGGCACTGACACCGAAAGGGTTTAGGGTTTAGGGTTTAGGGGTTTAGGGTTTAGGGTTTAGGGTTTAGGGGTTTAGGGTTTAGGGTTTAGGGTTTAGGGGTTTAGGATTTAGGGTTTAGGGTCCGGCAAGATAAACAACCCCGAACCCGAAGCCCGCTGTTCGAATGCTTTCTTTTGGACTGTTGATCCTCGACGGAACCATTAAGAAAGAAGAGGTTCTACGTTTTCCTCTGTGGTTTCGTCCTTCATTGAACCCAAAACATCTCCAAGCCGTAAACTAGTATCAGCCGCAAAGAAACTATCTATCTATCTACCGATCGACCTATCAATCTATCGACCTATCTGCGTATGTATCTATCTATCTATGTATAAAAGTATATAAATAGATGAACATACATCTGTAAATATATACATATACATATATATATATATATACCTATGTATATACCCCAAACTACACCGGCGCCCAGGTGGCAGGAAGTGCATCCAACCGCCTCCTTGGGGCCGCTGCGGCGGTCCCGGAAGGAGTTTGGGAGTTCCTTTTTTCAGGGAAACCCTAAACCCTAAACCCCTTAACCCTAAACCCTAAAACCATCTAAGGCTGCGACGGCTAGAGACTAGTGCAGTTGCAAAACGGCCCTCAAAAAAAACTGTAAGTTACCACCTTAGGTTCTGTTAAGGGTTTAGGGTGTAGGGGTGTAGGGGTTTAGGGGTTTGGGGTTTATGGGTTCTTTGGAGGTTTTTGCTTAGGGTTCTGTTCAGGGTTTAGGGTTTAGGGCCAGGGGTTTAGGTGCGAGGATTAGGGATTCTTTGGAGGGTTCTGCTTAGGGTTTAGGGGTTTAGGGTTTAAGAGTTTAGGGGTTCTTTGAAGGGTTCTGCTTAGGGTTCTGTTAAGGGTTTAGGGTGTAGGGGTTTAGGCCTTGAGGCTTTAGGGGTTCTTTGAAGGGTTCTGCTTAGGGTTCTGTTAAGAGTGTAGGGTGTAGGGGTTTAGGCATTGAGGGTTTAGGGGTTCTTTGAAGGGTTCTGCTTAGGGTTCTATTAAGGGTTTAGGGGTTCTTTGAAGGGTTCTGCTGACGGTCCTATGAAGGGTTTAGGGTACGGAAGGGTTTCTGTAGGTGCCTGTCGGCGTTCCATGGAGGGTTCTGGTCACGTTACTATGAGGGCTCTTGATGTTCTGGTTCTATGCAGGTTTCCAGCAAGGATCCTTGATGGGTTCTACTATAAGGATTCTGTTCAGGGTTCTACTGAGGATTCGTTGAAGGTTCCAGAGAGGTTCTATGAACGTCCCCTCTAAGGGTTCCTTAAGGTTCTATTGAGGGTTCTTTCAGGGTTAACTCAAGGGTTCTAGAGATGCTCTGTTTACAAAGGTTCCATACGGGTTGTGTAAGGGTTCTACAAGCGTTCTACTGGGCTCAAGGTTTCGGGTAATTTTTAGGTTTTCGGGATCTGAGTAGGGGTGATTTCGGGACTTGGGATCTGCGACAGTGGATGTTTGGGGTGCAGGGCGTATGCAGTGGTTGGGGGAATCTCGGTGGGGTTTGGGGTTCGGGTGCAAAATTTCAGAGGTCAGGATGTGGGCTGGCAGGAGTTTGTACTATGCTAGCCCTACCGGCGATCCGACACCCGCCCCACGAGCCCCATACAAGGTTCTGAATACTAATTATATGGATTGTAAGTGTATTTCTTTATACAGCTATTCTGCAAAATTCCTCAACATATTCTGATCATCGATGCCCGCCGGGCATCCCTGAAATCGGTCGCCACTGTAGCCGAAAGCTTTGAGTTGCTCTTCTCGACCCAACCTGGGAACAACTCTACGAGTTTCATTAGTCTTACCCTATAAGAATCGATGTATACCTAAATCATCGTTTATGCTGTGGCCCCAAAGTATTTATAATTAGTAGAGTACGTAGCTTTTAACCTTTTTGGGGGGCACTTTCCCAAAGGTTAACCGTTAGCTGCCGTAGGATACTGGACAAGTAAGCTACAACAAGGACTTCAATGAGCGGAAATATTTTCGTGAATACTATTAGGGTTTAGGATTGAGGGTTTTATTGACATCGGAAGGAAAGTTGGGGCCAAGAAGGTCGTGGACTGGTCGGAGTGGCAGTGCCTCAATTGGGCCACCTGCAGCAACTACATGTCCGAACGCAGCACGACCCCTAAACCCTAAACCCTAAACCGTGCCTTGTGGCATGAAGGTTCGGGATGAACAGAAGCGGCCGAAGGAAGAACTGGCGGCCCAGAAGCAGCGCCTCGAGGAGGCGAAGACATGCGCGGCACAGCAGGGTATCAAGCCCAAAGGCTCCATGTTCCCTTATAGTAGATACTTAAGCCCCAAAGTAGTCCCTATATAGGTACTTTAAGGCCTAAGTATCTACTATAAGGGTACATGGAGCCTTAGGGAAGGCCGGCCACATGATCACATTCGTGACAGTTGGCAAAGCAAAATAGATCACCCACCCTGTCAGCCAAAAGCTTTTCAAGAAGCTTCTGGGGCTTGCTCGCGAGGAGGTGTTCAGCGAGTACCGACCCGGTCGGGCGGATATAGGCCAAGACCCTATTGGCATATTTTACGCCCCTACATTCTATTCTAAGCCTTAACCTTTTCAACCGTATACATTAGACCCGCAACCCGAATCCCCAAGCCCTAATCTTTGAAGCGCCCACACTCACTATGCGCCTGAGCCCTAAACACTGTTGGCCATCCCCGTTTGCCTGCTTCTGGTGAGGTTGGAGGTGTCTACTTCGTGACTCTGGGATTTGCCAACGGTTGGCTCCGTTATGCCGAGGTGAGCCATTGTATTTGTTTTTCTCTGGCATTCCTGCTGTTTCTGGGGGGTCGCCGTTTGGCTTGTTGTATCGCGGGTGTTGATTGCGAGGTTATCTAGCGTTGTCGCTGATGTGGGCTGCAACATGAACTCGATGTTCCAGGCATGGCTTACTTGAGGCTTCGTTTGCATCCGTGTTTTTTGAGTGCTGAGTTGATTTACTGATCTGCATCAAGCGCAGTATCAAGAAAAGGACGCATGACATCTCGACGGAAGCCACAGAAACAATAGTAGTACGCTTCGCTAGGGCAATCTTCGTAGGCTTTAGTGGACTTAAGCTAGAACGGGTCGGAGAAAGGAATCATAAGGAAGGACACAGCAAAATTTTGCCTTGCAGAGATGTTACAGGCTTTTCAATTTTGCCATATGCTCACGGCGAGCACTATGAAGAGCTTAATGTCTTCTGGGCTGGGGTATTCAGCCCGGTCATTATAACCAAACATCCTGCTCAAACCCTATCTCCAATGTTACGGAACGTGTATGCGAGAAAAGTAGCGGGGAGAGGCTTTCCAAGCCTTAAGACATGCTGCGCAGCGCGCTACTCTACCGCATATTCTCAGGCTTAGGAAACGCCGCAGGACACCGCGCCGTCTGCAGAAGTTAGAACACTCCCACAATACATGACAGCACGCCCCCCTGCCTCACGCATCCCCGGCAGGTGCTGGAAGCATTGATGCTGCCGGAGAGCACGGACACGGAGTTCGCCAGCAGGTGCCAGTAGCAAAGGGGATGCTTCTACAACTTATTCCTTGCCGAAACCCTTGAAAAACCCGGGCTTGGCGTGAGGTATACCTAGACCCGCAACTACCCTCTCATGTACCCGAAATATCACGAAATACCCCATGATTTTGGACCATAGGGGCTCTATTAAAGGGCCCTTGCCGGGTTGAGGGGTTTAGGTTTTTTCTTGGCAGGGCTTTGGGGTTTTGGGTCAAGGTTTAGGGTTTTGCGGGTTTGGCTTCAGCGGTTTTGGGGCGTTGGGGTTTAAGGCTGGAAGGGTTGGGGTTTGGAGTTTCGGGTTTGGCTTGAGGGTGTTTGGGGTATGCGGAGTAGATTTCGGACTTGTCTGAGGGATTGAAGAAGCTACTTGTGATGTAGCATGTCTGTCTATGCAGTCCTATAGAGCACACCTTACATATATATCTATATATATACATATATTTATAATGATCCGTCTTGCTAACCCTACCGGGGTCTGGGCTCGACTGCGTCAGACATGAGTCGAAGCATTCATGGATTTCACAGCTATGCGCTCGGAGGTTTCAGGCTTTAGGGTCTATAGGCTTTAATTTAGGGCTTTGGGATTATACCTTCACCTAACAAATTTTGTAGGTTCTTATTATAAACCCTAATATGGCATTTATAGGGACCCTACTTTTTTGTAGGTTTTGGTAGGTTAAGATTGGGTTTAGGGGTCGAGGGGTTCAACAACTCGGATTCTAAGCTGTGGTGTCGGAGGGCGATGTCCTGTCGCCTTATCAGTTCTACTTGTTTGTGCAGGTTAGGGTTTCGGGTTTAGGGTTCAGGGTTTAGGGTTTAGGGTTATGGTTCCGGGTTTCTTGCGAGTCTCCACCGTCCACGACATGAAACGCCGCCCAGAGAAGCAGTTGGATCTGGGCCCAGACTCTACGACGGCATGCCTTGCTACTGTAGAGGGTCTCATTACCCTAGAGCTCCAGTTACCTAAAGAGCAGGTTACTAACCATATATCATGTACCCGAATAACCTGCTGTTTAGGTCACCGGAGCCCTAGGGATATTCAGGCTTTGATCTCAAGCCTGCGCATTGGCTCTGGGTGAAGAAACCATGGACAAGTCTGAAAAACGTGAGAAGAAGTACTCCTCTAGAAAAGCTGCATCCCAAATGAAGCATGAACCCTCAAACCCTAAGCCCTCAATCCCAAACTCCTAACCCAAACTATTTCCCAGACCCCATATAACTCGGTAGATAAACTCCCTCGGCCCTTTAAATACCCATCCCAGCATAAATCTCATACCCTCAAACCCGAAGCCCTAGCGAATGCAACCACTAAACCCTAAACCTCATACCCTAAACACTATACCCAGAGGCCCCAAAGTAGCTCCTTTTGGGAGTTACCCTAAAGGATTCTATATATGAACCCCCCAAAAGGAACTACTTTGGGGCCTTTGGATAAATCCTAAACCAAGCCGCGCCTCAGCTTGCGGGTGCTCGCGCGGACAAAGGCTCCGCCGGAGACGCCACCCGACCGCTTCAGAGAAACTCCCGGGTTTCCGGATTGAGAGCTCCAGGGAGAGGGTTCAGGGTCTAGGCTTTAGGGGCTTAGAGTTTAGGATTGAAGGGGTTTGAAAGTTTAGGGGTGTAGGGTTTCGGACTTTAGGGGTTTAGGCTTAGGGGTGTTTTGGGCTTAGGGGCTCAGCGTTTCAGGGCTTTTTGAGGTTTACGGCCCCGGTTCGACAGCTTCGGGTCTTGAGGGTGCAGGGTTTCGGGTCAGGGTCGCAGGGCTCTGGACCCTTCAATAAGGATTTGACAGCTTCATGAAACCCTAGCAACCGCAACCTAGGGCAATAAGGACTATAGCAGACTATAATCTATAAGGTTGTTTGAACCACTCAACGACAGAGTTTTGGAAAAGTGCTAAGAAACACAACCCTGTGGCACGGCACAGCCGCAGCATGGCATCCCACATCCATGTCAGCATTCGCATATGGTTGGTGGAAGTAAATGCAGTTCAGCTTTTCGAAATCGCAGTTGTGGTGCTGGTCGTCGTGATGTAGGTAGTAGTAGTCGTCGTCCTAGCAGGAGTGATAGCAAAAGAAGTAGTTGTTGGTAGCATCACGCAGATCGAAAATGCTCTCAAGCACAACTTTCGAATACCTACTGCTGGTGGACAATCCTGCATTACTCACTATAAGGAATGTACCATAGTTCCCATAGTTTAGAGTCCTTGGGGCCATGCAGGATTTTGTCCATCAACAGTATCACGCGCAGCCTCATATGTCCCCTTCTGCCTTTCGCAAGCCAAGGCGTGCATGGCTGGACGATGGGGAGCAGAGGAACCGCTACACGGTTAGGGGTTTAGGGTTTAGGTTTTAGGGTTTAGGGTTTAGGGGGTGCATCGTTTCTTGCAGGTGTTTGGGAGCCGTGATTCGACAGTAGTCACGCAAGATTCGAAGTCTGGCAGTCAAGCATGCTGGTGTGGTTCCCTATGTTCCCTCGTGGTGCATCGGGTGTGATTTATCTTCAATCCTCATGATCACCAGCTTAAGCATCACAGCCATCATTCCCACTGTCACTGTCCTCAGTGTGTGTCCTCCTCGTCATCCATGTTGGCATCGCCATCATCGGTCGCAGTCAGCATCATTCACCATCAATACTGTCACCATGACTTGTAGCATCGGAATCAACATAGTCATCTTAATCATCGTCATCGCCCTCATCATCGTATCAGAGCCACCATCAGCAGGAACATTGTCACCGTCATCTCAAGCGTAACGGGTTTTCAACCGCCTGGCAGTATTCTGGGCACGCTGAACCCCTAAACCCGAAACCTTAAACCCTAGAACCTAACCATAAGCCTTTGCCAGGCTCCTCAGGGGCTGATGTCGCAGCTCAGAATCCGCTCAGATGGCAGCCGGAAAGAGTCGCAACCGTCTGATCTGCACGATCATGTGGAAGTTTCCGAGGAAACGGGACCCCAAGAAAGTACCCCAAATAGTAGGATCCTCATTATAAGGACCGCAAAATAAGGTACCCATAATTTTCGGAAACTCCGGTGTATATGTTGAGCTAGTTGTTTGAACGGTCTATGTTATTCAAAATATTTCGGTGGTCGATAACTTATGGCAGCAGTTTGCTCAGAGGGAAGGGTTTGCCTAGGTTTGTGTACTCAGGGCCTCCGATGCTTGTTGATGTGACATGGCAAGCTTGTGATAATTAGAAACTACACTCATGTAGGAACCTGATTAAGAAACCCTGGGCCTATAACCCCAAAACTAGTAGGATTCATAGAAGGAGCCCGAATAAAGGCCCAAGGTTTCTTAATCAGGTTCCTACATTAATTGGCATTCATGATGCCCTTGGAAATTCTTGTGCTCGTTGTTTACGGCAGGCAGACCTGAACTTTGGATACTCAACTTTCCATCTGGACCACTGAAGCCTTCCTAAAAACCTTCATCTTAACCGTCATAACTATATACTGAGTAGTAGAGTAAGTAACCTTTAGCTTTTTTGCATCACTATACTCGCTATGTAATCCCAACCTTTTATCCCCAACTTCCCACAAGCCGCATCGCTACCTCCAACTCCCCTCTGCAACCGCTACACCCAGGACTCTAACCCTTGGCGTATTCCCAGAGGTAATTATATAAGTACAGTAAATTGGACGCCACTACCGCCAAGACCCTGCCCGAATTATTCAGAGCCGTATTTGGGACCCGACCAGTATCCCGTATAAACACCCTTATAGGACCCTTGACAGGAACCGTCGAACTACTGCTGATGGACAAAATCCTACAGTACCCATTTTTAGGAATATACCATAATTCCCATAGTTTAGAGTCCCTAGGGTCATGCAGGATTTTGTCCATCAACAGTACCACGGCCCCTAGATCAGGCCCTGCACCCTAAACCCTTAAACCCTGTACTCCTTCACTTGATCCAGTATTGTCTGGCTTGGAGTTAAACTGGCGGCATTCCAGTTTGTGATGGGGTTTTGAATGTTTTGGGTGTAGGGTTTAAGATGAAGGGTCTTGGGCTTGCTCCTTGGGCAAAATCTTGATCAAGCGCGGCTTGGATTTATCAACCGATACTGGAGCATGTCATATTCAGTCTGGCGCTGAGCAAGGATCAGCTTGCAGAGTCTACGCCGTCTCGACATGACGTGTTCCCCTTTGAGCTGAGATGTTGGAAGCCACTTCCTAAGCCCCATTCACACACCACAAAGCCCAAACCCTAAACTCAACCACCATGAAATCTAACGCTGACTTCGCAAGAGCTCCAGGGCTGCCCAGAACAAGAGACGTGACAGACGCAAGAACCCAGAGCTGTTGATGGCCAAGCGTTTCGGCTTCTGACGGCTATGCTCATGGTCTCAGTTGAAGATTGCCAGCTCGAGCAGGAAGACTGCAGAAATAGGACAAGGGCTTGAACATGCATGATAGGTTTTGAAGAGTATACAATGTTAGATACGACGCTTGAGTGGTGTAGGGATTGCAAAGGGGTCGCATGACTCATGAAGGTTCCTTTGTACAAGTTGAATTTGTAGGCTGCTAATCCCCCGGAAATCTCACCGAGCTACAACAACAAGATGCTAAGTGTTAATTCAATACTAATTACCATATGCATTGAAATCCGTGAGCGTCCACTCCCACTGAAAACCAGAATCAGATGACGGACCAAAAGCGAGCCTCCAAGCGAAAGCCGACAGTACAAGTTCGAAGCCATGAGGGTGGAATGATCCGTTAGCCTTCTGCAACTTCCGGCACCCTGGTCCTAAACCCGAAATCCGAAACCCGCGAGCCGCAAACATGACGCTTCCGAGCTTCCTGAAGTGCGTCCATGCCTTCCGGAAGACTCCGGGGGCTTCCCGGTCGCAAAAGACCTAGAATCTCCAGTGTAGTTCCTTCTTATGGATATCAAAAACCTATATTATAGGATCCTAACCATAAACCCTAAACCCTAAACACTAAACCCTAAACCCTAAACCCTAACCATAAAACTGGTTAACCAGAAAAAGGAACTACAATGGAGACTATAGGGAGGGACTGGGGGCTCTGCGTGTTTCGTCCGAGTTTAAGGGTTTCGGATTTCGTGCTCTAGGTTTGAGGTTTAGGGTTTAGGGTTTAGGGTTTAGAGCTTAGAGCCCTGGGTGTCGTCATCGAAACCGTCAACATCGACGCTGCATTATGAATTGTTGTCTTTTTCGGCAGACAGAGCAAAAAGACAGCGGCTTTTGTCAGTAGAGTAGGATGCTAAGTCTAGTTGAGGTCCTTCATACTCTACCTACATAGTACTTAGGGGTACTTAGAAATATTTTTGAGCTTTTGGTTATCATAATCCTTAAGAAACAGCTAAAACTATCTTTTTTGCTGGGGCTCTAAGTTCAGTATAGAGTACTATAGAGATTAGAAGGTGTTACTGTTTCTGTTTATTCCGACCCCTACATGCGAACTGCTTGCATAAAATCCCGGGCTGAGGTTCAGCTCAAGGCCCCGCGCCCAGACGGCTTCTTTTGGGGGGCCTTAGGGTTCGGGGTTTTAGGGTTTAGGGTTTAGGGTTTTAAGGGTTTAGGGTTTAGGGTTTTAAGGGTTTAGGGTTTAGGGTTTCGCGCTTGTTTTCCGTGAAAGGTGTACCCCCAATCGGCACGAAGAAGAAGGACGCACGTCCGAAGTCTTCAGCAAAAGCGTCGTTCGTCACGTACGCGGAGCTCTTACATGCCCACCCCAACGAAGCCACCCAGAGCTTCCGTACTGAGCTTAAGTTCTTAAGCGTTTCCGACAGAGAAGCATCTGCACACGAGAGTGCAATCTCTGGTATAGTACTGACAGTACTGTCTAGAGAGTATATTAAGGAATACTTGTATACACACATGAAGTTACCTGTAAATGGCTGTAATTGTAGCTTTACAATTACCATTTACCTCTAGGTAAGACTAGAATGTCTTTTGTTTCATTCCCGTACAGGTGTGTTACGCTCCTGTACGTGAGAAGGCATAAGCTGAGCATTCAGGCTTAAGAAGACCGGGATGGTTTAAAGCTGCCACATGAAAGGATCGGCGCTGCGCCGGATGGTTTAGAGCAGGCACGCGAAAAGGACGGCCCTGTTTTGCTGCAGAATGTGGCCCCGACCTGCTTGGGCACACACGAGCACTCGAGGGTCCATTTTTCGATCCTAAGCCTGGGAACCCAGTTAAGAGCAGGCACACGAAAGGAATGGCCCTGTTTTGCTGCAGAATGTGGCTTCGGCCGCTTTGGGCACCCATAGGTACCGGATGGTTTAGAGCAGGCACACGAAATGAACGGCCCTGTTTTGTTGCAGAATGTGGCCCCGACCAGCTTGGGCACACACGAGCACTCGGGGGTCCATTTTTCGATCCTAAGCCTGGGGCCCAGTTTAGAGCAGGCACACGAAAAGAACGGCCCTGTTTTGCTGCAGAAAGTGGCTTCGGCCGCTTTGGGCACCCAGAGGCACCGGATGGTTTAGATCAGGCACACGAAATGAACGGCCCTGTTTTGCTGCAGAATGTGGCCCCGACCTGCTTGGGCACACACGAGCACTCGAGGGTCCATTTTTCGATCCTAACCTGGGAACCCAGTTTAGAGCAGGCACACGAAAAGAACGTTTAAAGCAGGCACACGAAAAGAACGGCCTTGTTTTGCTGCAGAATGTGGCCCCGACTTGCTTGGGCAAAGACGAGCACTCGAGGGTCCATTTTTCGATCCTAACCTGGGAACCCAGTTTAGAGCAGGCGCACGAAAAGAACGGCCCTGTTTTGCTGCAGAATCTGGCTTTGGCCGCTTTGGGCACCCAGAGGCACCGGATGGTTTAGAGCAGGCACACCGAAAGAACGGCCCTGTTTTGCTGCAGAATGTGGCCCCGACCTGCTTGGGCACACACGAGCACTCGAGGGTCCATTTTTCGATCCTAAGCCTGGGAACCCAGTTAAGAGCAGGCACACGAAAGGAATGGCCCTGTTTTGCTGCAGAATGTGGCTTCGGCCGCTTTGGGCACCCATAGGTACCGGATGGTTTAGAGCAGGCACACGAAATGAACGGCCCTGTTTTGCTGCAGAATGTGGCCCCGACCAGCTTGGGCACACACGAGCACTCGGGGGTCCACTTTCCCCAGATTTGACTCGGCTTAGGGGGGGGGTTTAGGGTAGAATATCTCTTGTATATTACGGACAGTACTGTCTACAGAATATATATATATATATATATATATATTAAGGAATACTTGTATACACTCATGCTGTCTACCTGTAAGTAGCTTTACAATTACCATTTACCTCTAGGTAAGACTAGAAAGTCTTTTGTTTCATTCCCGTACAGGTGTGTTACGCTCCTGTACGTGAGAAGGCAGAAGCTGAGCATTCAGGCTTAAGCTTTTGAGTTTAGGGTTCAGGGTTAAGGGTTTAGGGTTTCGGGGTTTAGGGTTTTAGGGTTTATCTTCCTTATATTATAGATATAGCATAATATACCCCCAAAGCCTTATTCTAGTGATAAAGGCCCCTACATTAACTATATTATAGATATAGTATACCCCCAAAACCCTATTCTAATTATTAAGGCCCCAGAATGCAAGTTGGAGGATCGGCAAGGAAGGGCTTTGCGGTTTGGGGTTCAAGTTTTACGGCTTAGGGTTTGGGGTTGGTTGTCAAATTTAGGGTCCCTTTTTTGGGTCCTTCATAAAATAAGAATACGGCACCTAATATTTAGGGTAGGGGTTGAGGGTTTAGGGAAAACCTCGGGGTTCAGAATGTAGGTTTGAGGGTCTAGGGCAGAAGGCTGCTAGTGTCTTAAAGGCCATGACCTTAGACAACACTCCAAGAGAGGCGTCTGCCCCGCAAAGTAAGTCAAATCTGGAAATCGGGGCTGATGCTTGGGATCTTGGTTTGGGGGTCTTGGTTTAGGACCCATAGATTAGGGTTTGGGGCTTGAGGGTTTTAGTGTTGCAGGTTCAGAGGTTTGATGTTGTTGAGACTCATAGGGCTTTCCTAAGCAAGCTTGTCTAGCTGGAGGAGGCATGCGAGTGGTATTCCACCAGTCTCATGCTGCCTGTGCAGAGGTGCCTACAGCAGTACCCTCTTATGCCTCTAGCTTGGATCTTGTGATCAATACTGAATCATCGTCAAAGTCTCATGCCGGTGAGTGGTGGGAGCGGGGTGATGCGGTAGGGTGGAAACTGAGTGCTGTCATTATCTTCGACATTCTTCCCTGGGACTGCATTTTGGGGTTTAGGGTCAGCTGAAGGTTTAGTCAACGTCAACGCGCAGAGAAGGGAACGTCCAATATTGGAGTAGAGCACGGCTCGGGATCAGGAATTGCGCTTCTAAATCCGTCAAGCTCGTAGCCGTAAAGTCTTCTGCAACCCCAACTCTCAACACTAAGCCCCACACCCTAAATCCTAAACCCCTAAACCTGCAGACCCCTAAATCCTCAACCTCTGTGCACACCGGCCGCCTGAAGATCTTTAGAAGTCCTCAAGCCTGGAAGGGCTAGGGAGCCGACTCGAGAAAGCCTGGTTCGACTTGACCAAGGGGTTACAGGGGTTTAGGGTTTAGGCTTCGGGGGTTTATGGTTTAGGGTTTAGGGCTTTAAGGATTTAGGGGTTTAGGGATTTAGTGGTTTAGGGCTTCAGGGGTTTAGGGATTTAGGGGTTTAGGGCTCTAGGGGTTTAGGGTTCAGGGTAGAGGTGTGGGTTAGTTAAGGGTTGAGAGATCCATATGCCTACTCAGAACCAGTTCTTTCCAGTCACATTCTTTGTTTGACCCTTGGAGAACCAGCCAAGCCGGAAGCCCTGAACCTCAGGCTGTAGATAGCCTAGCCCCTAAACCCCAAACCCTTGACGCCACCCTAAGCGCTGAACCCTAGAGGCCAACCCTGAAACCGTGCTAGTTACTAGTCCTGTCAGCAGTACCTGCCTTCAGGCTTGCGCTTTGAGCCCGCAGATCTACATGCCGTTAATAGAGCGACAGACCCCAAATACAACTCCTAAGCACCCTGAACCCTAAACCTTAAACCCTAAACACTAAATCCGTATAATTCCTCAGCCGAGGTTCAAACCCAAAGTACCATGGAACCCTCTACAACCCAAGCCTCACACCGACGACAACAACAGTTCTTGCCCCGAGAATCTGAAACCCAAAGAGGACAGCAGTATACTATAGGGGCCTTAATAGTTAGAATAGGGTTTTGGGGCCCAGTATACGTTACTTATAATAAGGAACTCTTAAAATAGTATAGGTAATCAGTATTTATATAAGGTCTCCATAGTTTAGGGGCCCGGTTGAAGCCTTGGTACGTATTGCTGTAGTTTCGGCAGTCCCCCCGAGGTTTGGCGGGCCCTAAGCACGCAGGCTTCCGGGACGGGTTAGCGCAGAGGGGACGGGTACCCTAAACTCTAAACTGGTTTAGGGTCTAGGGGTTTAGGGTTTAGGGCCTACACCCATCGTAGTCCCTTTTGGGGTCAGTTTTATCTTAACTTATGATCCATAAGATAAGGTAACCCAAATTTAAAAAAGGAACTACAAAGGAGATTGCAGGTAGGGTCATGCTTTTGGCTTTTGGGAGTTTCTGGCGCTGCGATGTCTTCAGAAACCAGGATCTTGGCGCAGGGATTACGGCAAGAGGAGGTTGGGATCAAGGTTCAGGGTTGCTGGGGTTTAGGGATGAGGGTTTGGGGTTTATATGGGTTCAGGGTTTAGGGGTTTAGGGTTAAAGGTTCCGGTGTTTCGGGTTTACGTTAGACCCCCCAGCTATCCTCTAATATACCTAAATACCCACTATTATGCACCATAGGGGCTCTATTAAGGGGGTCCTGGTAGGTTCAGGGCTCAGGGATTCGGGTTCAGGTTGGAAGATACGCAAGACAGCTGAGAGCAGGGATGCAACTAGGTCTTCTTTTGTCCGAAACCCTAAACCCTGAACCCTAAACCGTGTGAGACGTGTTTCGATGTAAGGGCAGCGTTGACGCAATAACCTGATGCTAAACATCCTGTGCCCTAAATTCTGAAATGTAAACCTTGAAGCCGAGGTTTCTGTTCTAAACCGTAAACCCGAAGATTTGAAATCTAAGCCTTGAAACCCGAACTCCTACGTCCCGGGCCTTACAATCGAAGCCTGCTTTCTCTGACTGAAACGTGCTCCGACTCCAACATCCTCGCAGCTCTGACGATCTACTTCGAAAGGCTGAGGCCCAACTCGGACTTGGACCAATCTCACTTCTTTCTCAAAAGATGCAAAGGGCTCCAAAAAAATCGAACCGGATCCTTAAACTCTGAACCTTAAAGGCCCTAAAGCCTAGCAGTCCTAAGAGATCTACAGCTATTTCTGAAGGCGCTGGCGCCGCCACCGCCGCCCCCACCGCCTCCCGGGCTTCCATCTTTTCAGCCCAAGGAGCCCCCGACACCAAAGAGCGCACCCTCACAGCCCCTGGCGCCGCCCCTGGCGCCCACCCCGAAGCCAGCGGCTGCGGCTGCGCCTGCCCAGCCGGATGCTGGCAAGGCAGCGCCGATGCCGCCGCCTCCGCCGTCCTCGCCCGAGAATTGATATCGTCCTGGTGTCAGGGTTTGCTCTACGCCTCAGAACTGGGACCCCGAACCCTAAACCCCTATGCCCTAAACCCCTAAATCCCTAAAGCGGCCCTCTCAGAGTGGACCTTGCAAGAGAAAGGCGACTATAATATGGAAGTGGGGTCCACACAGATACGGGAGTTTCTGAAAATTAGGTGTACCTTGCTTAGGGGTCCTTATAAACAGGATAAGATACTGCAGGAACCAAGATCGCATTTCAGCCCTAGGCATCGTGTCAGCGATGTTTGATCCTGAGAAGCCCGAATGGCATGAATTCAGAGCTTTAGCTGCAGTGCCGGCCCCCCGAGACACAAATCCCAGGGTAAGGAACTTGAAGCATTCAATGATCGGCTAAACGAACAAACATGCAAATCTTCGATCGCCGAAGAAGGCCCAGCATGCTTTTCCTCCTACACCGGAAGCCAAAACACAAAGCCTCTAAATGCTGTAAGCCCTGAGCCCTAAACCCCTGAACCCTATACCCAGGCTTGCGTGGTTAAGACTTCAGGAAACAAGGGCTCAGAGGACAGTACCGAGGCTCGGTAGGATTTAGGGTATAGGGTAATTGCAGGGTGCACGCTTTTAATTAATATGTGGGCGGAATTTGCTTTCCGTGGGCCCCTGCAAAGGATGCCACCACCCTTGGCATCGGTACCGGCGAAGACGACGGGAGGTCGTTTCGCTCCCTCCGCAGCCAGGGCTTGGAGGGTTTTTTTGGAAGGGTGTAGGATCCTTAGCCATAAACCTTTAGTGACGTGGTTTTGAGGTTTGCGGGCATTTAGTTTATAGCAACGAAGTGCAAGCCCTTAGTTTGTTGGAGGTTGAAGGCTTTGGGGCACTAGGAATACCTTATTAGAATCCGAAAGAGAACCGAGAACCCGAAACAACAAATAAACAAGCATGAAGCAGAAACCCTAGAACAACAACAGATCGTCATCATTTCCAAACAAAACCTCTGAAGCCCTAAGCCCGAAGCCCAAAACCCCAAACCTCAAACCCAAACTCTGCAGGGTTTAGGGGTTAGGGTGTCAAATTCCGAACCCAAACCCGAGCCGCAGATTGCGGGTTCAAGCCGCTTCCGTTTCGACAGACGCCCGCTTAGAACCCATGGCGCGCACCGGACTCGACTTTCCGGCATCTCGCCGCTGTTTGTCTTTGTTTTTGTTTGGCAGGGTTTAGGCGTTTAGGTTTTTGGTTTAAATGATAGGATTTATGAAGACGCCAAATGGACGATCCAGAAGCACCAAGACTTCTGGGTCCACTACGAATGAAACTTATGAATGAAGTCAGCCCTGTTGAGCTTGCCGGTAAGCTCGCTTGGACGCTGACCGCACTGATCCTGGATGAAGTAATTGCACATCAGAGCAGCGAGAACTGTGTTCTCATAATGCCTGCAAAAGAACTAGAAGCTGCCATAAGACGGATCTTAAGGCCTTCCCGTTCAGCGAACTACATGGTCGGACCAACACCCCAGGAAGCACGTTGCGAACTCTTAAGGACACCAGAAAGGGCCCAAAGACCACCTGAAAAGCATCACCCAACCGAAGTAAAAGAGCTCGAAGAATGTGTCGAAATGTAGTGATCTGTGCTGAAAGCGATTGCCTCTGGAGGGAGAATCGAGAATATTGAGACTCATATACCCAGCCAAGTTGAAGATGATGCCACTTTGGATTTGGAACGGAGGAGCCCACTTCCCAACATTAACCGTCACAAATCAACCAGTTGCAGATAGAAGCAGAAAGGTACTGTAGAGCTCCAAAAGACTCATCCCAACATCATCGTGTACACATATCCCTAAACCCTAAACCCTAAACCCTAAACCGTTGTTGCTGAAGTATAACCTGCAGGAGAACATTTGTAAAAGCTCCGGACATGAGGGTTTGGGGCTTAAAGGGAACTCCAGAAAGTTGGAATATGGTTTCAGGGTAGGATACCCTATAATTTACCATAAAGGGTTTAGGATAATCATATTCCAACTTTCTGGCTTTTACTTTTGGTCAGGGTTTAAAATTAGGGGTTTGGAGGTTCAGGTGTTAATTAGTGTTTGGGGTTCTAAGGTCTTGTAGGATCTTCCAAAGGGTTCTAGAGAGGGGTTGTAGGTTTTGATAGGGTGTTAGGGCAGGGGGCCAGTGGTACATGCGTACCTTTTTCATGAGGGTCCTACGTACTTGTCACAGCTGAAATAGTGGGAACACTTTGTGTGATAATTTAGGTTATACTTAGGGGCACTTAGAAATATTTTTTAATTTTTTGGTTATTATAATCCCTAAGAAACAGCTAAAATTATAATTTTTGCTAGGGTTCTAAGTTCAGTATAGTACAGGCGATTATAGGCTCTATAGCGTTTGGGATTGAGGGGTTCAAGTTCAGGACCTGGGTGGGCCGCGCATCGCCACAACTACGTTATAACTTTTAAGCACCTGCCTCGCTTCGAGGCTGTACCATCTTCAGTACTGGAGCCAGAGCTAATGAACCAACCTTTAAGGCGTCTAGTCTACGTGGAGTTCGGGGGGTTGTGGAGACGAGATTTTTCCCCATCTAAATCATGGCACTCCAGGGAAGAGACATGCCAACGCTGGCTTTTGCTACACCTTCTTAGCATCCCTAAGCCCCAAATATCCCTCAACATCCCTAAACCCCAAACCCCCATCTCCAAACCTTCGGGACCCTCTAACCCGAACCCCAAGTCTCCTTAAGATAACGGTCTTCCTCAGGCTTCCTTATCATAGCCCCGCTCTAAAGCAAAATTATATGGCCGCCCCATATCACCCCGTTACTAGAGTCTCCATCATAGAACCCTTACCTGGGCCCTAAGTAACCTACCTTTTTTTCGGGTTCCTTAATATGATTTCTTTATATAACTCCTTAAAAAGGTAGGTTACTTGGGGTTAAGGTAAGGGAACTCTCAAAGGAACCCCGTTTGCTGAAACCTCTAAGATCAACTGAAGAGCTCAGGAAGATGCAGAGGGAAAGAGGAGCACCACAGGACCGACTGCGTGAGCTGTCCGTACCCTAAGGCCCCAAAGTAGTTCCTTTTGGGGGGTTCGTATACAGAATCCTATTCGGTAATCCCCAAAAGGAACTACTATGGAGCCTATGGGTAAGCCATGGAACAGGTCTCATAAGGGTATAGGGTTTAGGGTTAGGGGTTTAAGTTTCAGGGGCTTATGGGGGTTAGGGTATAGGGGCTTTGCGGTTTAAGGTACAGGGCTTTTGGGGTTTAGGGCTTAGGTGTTTAGGGTTTGGCGGTTTAGTGTTTAGGGGTTCGGGCCTCAAAGTTTCAGAAACGGACGATGCAGGGCGAGTTTCCAAGGTTTAGGGAATTGGTTTTAGAAGGCCCGGGTGGGTTGAATACGAGTTGGAGAAGGGTTTAGGGTTTAGAGACGGCTTATGGGTTGTATTCCGCTTTAGAAGGGTTCTGCAAGTGTTTCGGTTTAGGGTTTGCAAGACGCCTGGGTACCATAGAGCCCTCTGCAATTAGAACAGGATCTCCCATTTTCGCTTTATAGTCTAGTGCTACCATATATCCTCAAAGCCTCAACCTTCTGAATTCATTGATACCTCTGGTCTGTTACTTGATCGAAGGGAACAGTTTAACAATCTCCTGCGGCCCTATCCTTGAGATAGTCAGGGTTTGCATTAGGCTTTTGGTGAGCGCATATACGGCTCTGTGGTGCGAGTGAGCATGGGGGCATCACAGCATATCACAGCCAAAGGTCGGATTTGACTAGTTCAGCTGACGGGTTTTGGTAGAAGGCGTAGGCGTCTCTGAGCCTGCTTCAATTTGAGGTATAGGGTTTAGAGCTTTCGGTTTGGGGTAGGGTCGAGGTTGCAGGTGTTTGTCTGTGCATTTTGGGGTTTTCATCTTTAAGCAGTGCTCCCTCGCTCAAGAAACTGAAACTTGTCATATCCATGCTACTCTGCACTCTTTACCCTAGGTTTCAGTGCCGTGATTCCCAGCGTTTCTTACCACTCGTATGCCGCGCTGAACTGAGTCGCAGCGTAGTGTTAACCTGCTAACCCTGTGTCAAGGGCTCAATGGGGCAAACTTGAAACCCTAAAACGTGCTTCGCAGGAAAGCCGTCAACAATCTGTTAATCTGAGTAAGTAGTATGCAACAGCTGCCCCAATACTCCCCACGTTTTACAAGTATACTATACTCCTTTTTCGTAAGGTAAAAAGTTAACAGCTCATGAAAAGCCTAATCAAGTTATTGAAGCCGCTGTGTTAGGCCCCTTACTTCAAGGATCAGTGGGACTTAAAAACGAAAAGCCAACAGAAAAACACAATAACCAACACTACCTCCAATTACATGCGCCCCAATCAAGCTACTAATGACCTTATTACTTAATAAAACCTAAAACCTAAAGCCTTACAACCCTTAACCTTTCACCTAAAACGCCCTCAGCCCTAAAAGCCGAAAGCCCTAAAGCGTGGAATCCTTAAGCCCTAAAGCTCTGAAGCTTAACCTTTAAACCTCACTTAGTCCTGAATCCGAAACCCCAGCGCCCCAAAGCCCTATAAATCTTAAACCTCACTTAGTCCCATGATCCTCCAAGCAGCCGCAGGGACGAATCAAGGCGCCTTTGCCGCCTCAGTGAAAAGCTTCAAGGAAGCCCACGAGGCTTCCCACAGAGGGTTGAGGGTTTAGACTTTAGGGTTTGCGGTTTAGGGTTTATAGTGTTTATAGGGGTTAGGGCTAGGGTTTAGGCGTTTCTCTTTTTGGATGTTTGGGGGTCTAGGGCCTGGGGTATCAGGGTTTACAGTTCAGGGGTTACAGTTGCTTAAAGGAGCTTCGGTAAGGGTTTAGGGGTTTAGGGCTTGGGGCTTTAGGGTTTAGGATGGTTTAGGGGTGTATGGGTTGGGGGTATATTGTTTCGTGTGTAGGGCCGGGGAGGGGGTCAGAGGATTGATTGTGCTTCTTGAGATCTTAGGGGTCCTTGCGATATGATATAGTAGACCCCAACAAGTTGGAAACCGGATTAAAGACACTTCGCGCTGGGATTCCTATACATTACTCTTAAGGATTGAGGCTTTTGGGTTTCCAACTTTTGGGCTTCTATTGTAAGGGTTCTGCTCAGGGTCTATGTTGGTGTCCCTTGTTCAGAGGAAATCCCATACAGAGGCGACTGCGAGGACATAACACAGCAGATTGGCCCTGCCGTGAACTTTATGCCCGGCACGCCATAGAGTAGTGCCCCACTGCTAGCCAGAACCCTGGACACCCCGAAAACCTTGGCGTGCCACATGTGCTAAGACGAAGCCTGCAAGGGGGACTGATTCAGTTTCCGACCCATAAAGCCTGAAAATCAATAACCTTACCCCTACCGTACCCCTATATACCCTGAACCCCTGACCCCCTAATTCTCTGAACCCCTTCGCTAAGAGGGCCCGCGGAGTCATCCGTGGGTCAGCCTGCATTTGTGAATCTTTGTTTACGGTTGAGCATACCTTACCCTGAAACTCTGAAAACTCACATTATAAGACTGCTTGGTCCCGAGATGATATTATGTGTAACACTTTGGAGCTATTTTGAGTCTTATGGTTCGGGTGCAAGCGTTAGGAATTCACTCCCCATTCTGGCATGTCCGACAAGGCAGGGATCCCGCAGTAGACACTTAGGCTGACTTCAGAGAGCGAACCTCCGAATGCTTGCAAACCCCGGGTGTGAGGCGTCTTTCTGAAGAGTTTGGGTCGCTACTGTATCGTTCTTTCCCATTGCTCGAGTTCCCCGTGTTCTCAGGCCGTCGTGGCGGAAAAGAAGTGGCGCTTTGGCTATGCCGGGTCCCCAAGCTTTCGGGTTAGATTCTTGGAGAGTCCTTGACCTCCGTTGAAGTACAATCGCCAAGCTGCATAGCGACCGCCAAGGCTAGCCATCCCAATACTCAACCTAATCCCATAAGCCCTGCCATCACACACCCTAACCCTTAACGAGCTCTTCTGAGGTGAAGCATGTAGTCCGCCAGACACAGCTGGCGGCCACGTCAGAGGAGGCAGCTCTGGGTGACCTGGAACGAAAGCCTTTTTGTAACCGTTTTACTTGTGTGTATGTATGTATATACATATATATATATATATATCATAATATACAGATACATATGTAACCACATACATACACACATACATACACATACACATACATACATGCATGCAACATATTTACATGTATGGGTGCATGATGGATGGATGTATTGATTGATCTGTGAATGTCTGAATTTGTCAGTCTGTGTTTGTGTGCATCTGGTCCATGCAAATGAACGGGTAGGTAAGTATGCAGAGATATCGGTGGACTGCTTGATCTTAGGGGTACATAGAAATAATTTCCAATTCTTGGTGATTTTAATCCCTATGCAACAGCTAAAATTATAATTGTTGCTAGGGTTCTAAGTTCAGTATTGGAATGTGCTGAGGCTTCTTTTCTAGGGCCTCGGGGGGGAGAAGAAAATGTGAACACAATCAGGGCTTCGGGTGCATCTCGATGTGGAATGCGTCATTTCCTGACATGGGCAGGAAGCCCGGTTTCTGGCTTGAGGTGCAAATTTCGAGGTTGATTCTTTGGGACTTTGAGTCCGAAGATCCACTCCTCTGCGGCCTAAGGCATTGCGAAGGATGGGCTCGAGTACCTGCACTCCAACATGCAATTCTGCAGCATCCCGGCCACCATCGTGTTCAGAAGTTGTGGCCCTAACCACAGGGATGTGCCGGATTCCCTGTAAACCCGCAACCCCAAACCCCACCCTGAAGATGGGAACGGAATGCTAGGGTTCGGGGATGTTCAAGTTTCCTGGACGATCAGCAGTCAGTGCATGTACTGACCAGTGTTGACTTTTGGTTCTGCTTGCTGCTTCCTTCAATCACGGTCCAAACTCCCCAAGCCCCACCTCATAAACCGAACCCAAACCGGTGTTGTGCTGGATTGGTCCGCGGGTCTAGGACGCCAGCAAACTGCTATCAACCACAGGTTGGAACATTGCTTTATGCTAAGCTTGCAGCCAGGGTTTAGGACTTAGGGTTTAGGTGGTTTATGGCCTAATTCTAACACCAATCCCCGCCAAACCCTGATGTTTGCAAGAGGGGTCTGAGAGCCCTGACTCAAGGAGATGGATCCAGTGTTTCGCTGAAGGATGCCATGAAGAGCATCCAGGTGTCTTGTCACTGTCCACAACTAGATTCACCCCGTAGTACCCCAAACCCAAAACCCTAAGCCATCATACGCCCTAAACCCTAAACCATCGTAAACCTCAAGCCATCATAAACCCGAAACCCTAAACCATCATAAACCCTAAATCCTAAACCATCATAAACCTCAAATCCTAAACCACCATAAACCCTAAACCCTAAGCCACTATAACCCTAATCCCTAAACTCTGAACCCCAGATCTCCTCAACCGTTATACGGGCGGTTGTCAAAATTATGGTCCTTTTTTTTGGGTCCTTAAAGGGAACTCCAGAAAGTTGGAATATGGATTAATGGTAGGACCCCCTATAATTTACCTTAAAGGGGTTAGGATAATGATATTCCAACTTTCTGGCTTCTACTGTAGTAGAATACCGCACCTTATTATTTAGGGTACCCAAGAAGGGGCCATCATTTTGACAACTACCCAGACACCCCAAAACCCTAAACCATCATAAACCCTAAGCCATCGAAAACCCTAATTTCTGAACCCCAGATCTCCTGCACCCTTATACGCCGCTAAAACAAGGGTAAGGAGGGCCTTCGACTGAAATGTTCGGGGACTTGTTTTCCGGCGGCCTCAAAAGGAGGGGCGGATGATGAATGAAACGGGGAACCCTTGAGGTTTAGGGCGTTTTGGGGGTTAGGGTTTATAGCGGTTTAGGGTTTAGTGTTTTGGGATTAAGGTTTGGGGAATCGGGTCTAGAGTTTAGGGTTTGGGGTTTAGGGTTTTTTTAATGGTTTAGGATAATTAGGGTTTGGGGCATAGGGTTTAGGGATAAGGACTTGGGGCAAAGAAATGTTTTGCGCTTTGAGCACCGGTGGCTGCAATTCCTTCACTTGAACACATAACTGCTTAAGCTCCCCCGCTACCTGTAGCCGAAAAGACCTACCTTTGTAAGGAACTTTGTATAGAAACCATAATAAGGAACCCTAAAAAGGTAGGTCTTTCCGGCTACAGGTAGAACCTAAACCCTAAACCCTACACTCTCATACAAGCTGAAGCGATCCGAGATTGCACTTATTAGCTTGAGTCTCTCCTTCTTGGAAGGGCAGGGGACTTAGTAAGTAGGTTATAAGTAGAGTTATAAGTACCCTAAATGGAGTTACCCCAATTATAACTTAGAAGCTACTTACTAAGTCCCCTGCCTCTCCAAGTTATGGAGCCCAGGCCAGAAATCACGCACCCTACGTCGTCACACCACGGGAGTTAGGGTTTGGAGTCAAGGGTTTGGGCATTTCTGGGGCAGGGTCCTGGCTTGACGTGTATCAGCGTTTATGGCTTCACGGGTCCCTCCCTCCCTCCCTCCCTCCCTCCTTCCCTCCCTCCCTGTTCACAACAGAAAAGCTCTGGCACCTCCTCAGCCCTAAACCCCCTAAATCCCCTAAACCCTGAACCTCCTAAGCCCCAAGCCCTAAACCGCCTTGAACCTGCTAAACCGGTAACCCTAGGCCCCCTAAACCTCCTAAGCCCTAAAACCTTTTCGATGCCTTTAAGGAATCCTTTGAGGATCCTTCTATCGGAGGCCTCACAAGGTGGGATGAAGGTGGGTGGGATTAAGCATCCCTTGTATAAGGACTCTTATTTGGGAATATCCCACCTACCTTCATCTTACCTATTGAAAGCCTTTAGGCCCTAAACCCGAAACCCCTATAGATCCCGTATAAATCCCTGTAAGGAAACCGTTAAAGGGACCCGTTATCGATCCTTGAAAGGCCACCTGATCCTAAACCCTACTAGCCTAAACCCCTAAACCCTGAACCGTTATAGATCCCTTCAAGGATCTTTGTCTCGGACCCAGAGTCCGCCCTTATTCCCTTTTTAGGGTTTAGCTTCTCGTATATAAACCCCCTTTAACCCCAAAAGGGCACCCTTGCTATTCCTGGGCTACTCTGGGGTCTAGTTCTAAATTCCCCAAAATAGTAGGACTCATATAAGGAACCCCAATCAAGGCCCAAGGTTTCTTAATCAGGTTCCTGCACTGCTATACTACCCTTATAGATCCCTCACAGTAACCCTTATAGACCCCTTCTTAAAGGAACCCTATAACCCAAAACCCCTAAACCCCTAAACCCTAAGCCCATCGTTTTAAAGTCCCCAAAACTTGCAAGGCAACCCTAAACCTAAACCCCTAAACCCTAAAGTCCCTAATCCCGAAAACCCTAAAACCCTAAACCCCTTGACCCCTAAACCATAAAGTCCTTAAAGCCCGTAACCGAAAGGCATTATTATGGTACCCTTATAGATCTCATAGTAAGCAGTATAGACTCCTTTAAAGGAGCATTAAGCTTGAAAGGCATTCTCCTACTACCCCTATAGATCCCTCATAGTAACCCTTGTAGACCCTTAAAGTCCCTAACCGAAAGGCATTATTTATTAAAGTAGCCTTATAGGAACCCGAATACACGTATTATCCTGCACTAAGCTTGAAAGGCCAGCTCCTTCGAGACGAAGGAGATCCGGGGCTCAAAGAAGCCCGGACCCAGGGCCATGGAGGCTCCCCGGGGGGTTTTGAGGGTCCACGTTTTGAGGTTTAGGGGTTTAGGGTTAGGGTTTAAGGTTAGGGTTTAGGATTTAGGGTCCACGCTTTAAGGTTTAGGGGTTTAGGGTTTAGGGCTTTATTGTTATGGGTTTAATTTGTTCTGATCATTGTCGGGTGTATGAATTTATAAAGGCTTGTTTTAGTATGGCCTTGAGATGCCATAAGTGTTTCGATAAGGGCTGTCTTAGGGTTCCGGTAAGGGTTTTGACGCGGTAGTTTACTGTAGACTGTAGGTTTGTCGGCTTAAGGGGTTTCGGGTTGAGGATTTAGGGTATTATGTTTTAGGGTTGAGGGTTACTGTATGGTTCATGTTTATGTTTTCGGGTGTTGCTCCTGGTTTCAGGGTTTAGGTAGGTGCCTGGGTTGTCGGTGTATGCAGGTTCGTAGTTGACGGAGGCTTCTTCAGGATTCGTGAACTTATCTGAGTTGGTGTTCTGGTGGGGGCTTCAAGACTTCACAAAGGGTCATTGCTGTTGATATTGGCTCATGCTACGAGTATACAGGGATGTTCGGTATTCCTGTGTCTGACATGAGTATGACTGTTTGTTGCCAACCGCTGCTAAACCCTAAAGCTGTGCACCTTATACGGAGGTAAATATATTCTGGCAAGTTTGTCGTACCTTGCACTTATTCACGATGCCATCGCATAACGTGTCAGATCATATAACATAACAACTATGACATAACAAGGAATGAATAGTTAGTGAATCTCGACAGCAGCTATGTTTCTGAGCCCTTATCGGGCTTGGTCCTGAGTAATATACCGGATACAGGGTTCAGGTGAGAGTGTCATCCAGGGTGTGTATGTATATATATATATATATATATGTATACTATATATATATACACAAACATTATGTGTGTATATATATATATATATACATCATTATTATTATTAGCAGTCCAACAAGCGGCTATCCCAGCTTCACTTCTTGTTCCTCTGCACCCACCCCGTCGTCTCTGCCAGGTTCCCTACAAAGGATCCGTCCTCACCGGTGATGCACTGCGAGCGCAGGCCGGACATCGCCAGCTTTAGCGTCTGATGCCGCGTTGAGGTGTGGGGTTCAGGGTTTAGGGTTTGGGGTTTAGGATTTTAAGGTTGAGGAGTTTAGGATTTTAGGATTTGAGAGTTTAGGAGTTTAGGGTGTGGGGTTCAGGGTTTTGGATTTCAGGGTAAATTTCGGGTTTGGGATTGGGGATATAGGACTTTGGATTTAGGGCTGCGGTTTGTTTCTGGTATTCGATTTCTGTGCCCTTCCGGGTACGAGGTGCAGTCAGCGTGCGCCAGCTTTCTCATCACGAAGAGTATGAACCATGACAGCGTAACGACAGCGTAGCTTCGGATTCAGGTGTTGCATCTTGTCCGGGGCGTGATGAAGACAGCACATCTGCATATGTGCATATATATATAGATATACTTTGTAAAAGCTTATGCAGTTGTCTTGTTGTAGTTGGCTTGTACACATAATATGTGCGTTTATTGTCTTTTTGCATTTGACTCCTATGCGCTCTAGTTGCATGGACAGTCCTTCCAACAGCAACAAAGTTCAAGCACACGCATGCTTCCATTCTAATGCAGGCGCGTAAGTTTGCTTGCAGTACCTATGGTTTTGCGCACCTGTATCGATTAATTACCCTTCCTCCATTCCAGAAAAGAAAGACAGCAAAATTCAACCTTCCCAAACCATCCGAAATCTCCGAACCCCAAACCTAATAACCCTGCAGCGAGGCAACAAGCAGGGAGCTCTTACTACCAGGCGACAAAAACGTTGCGCTACGACAACTAAAGGCCCTACCTGGACCTCCAAACCCCGAAACCGTGCCCGCCCAACAGCCCCAACCCACAAAAGCCTGTCCGGTTCAGCTTGTCAGGTGGAGCTGTGGGTCCGGCGCGGAGTCATCGAGCCACAGCTATGACTCGGTTTTGGTGTTTGCGGCGTTTTAGGGCCAGAGGCTCCAAAGTAGTTCCTTTCTGGGATTACCTTATAGGATTCTAAATGTGAACCCCAAAAAGGAACTACTATGGAGCCTCCAGGTGGGGATTCAGGGTTCAGTTGGCTTCTTTCACTCACCCACTCAGCCTTTGCCAGTGAGTTCAGTTCGTTTAGGTTTTCTTGCGGTCTTTTCTTCAGGGTGGAGGCACATGAATGCTAACATCCACAATGGGACTTCTTCACATTCTAGCGTTCATTGCAGGGTACAGCACGCTTTGTTTTCTCGAGGGACCCCGAAAGGGGACCCTAATTTAGAGAGCTACCATATATTGCTCCAAATCTCCAAAGGCCCTGATGACTGTGAAGAAATGCAGAGGAAGAGAGCTTCATCACTTGAAGGAAGAGCAGGGCTTGAGCTGATTGGGAATTTGGGTTTAGGGATTAGGGGTTCGGGTTCAGGGCACTATGGTATTCTTGGGAAGATGGACCGGGGATAGAACCAGAAACGGCCTAGAGGTGAGAAGGTAGACCCCAACTAAAACCCCAGAAGAACAGGCCTGTTATGAATGAAACCGTGTACGAACGAACCAAAAGCCTAAGCAAAGCCACATGACAACTTGTGAACACCCCGCAAAAAACAACAAACAAACTATACATCCGACGAAACCCCAAGCAAAACCTTTGAGTTTCAAGGAGTTGGACACCGGTGCTGCGCTAAATCTGGTGGCAGGCAGCTCTGACTGGCTCGAGACCCGACTACCGTGGGGGGGGGGGCGGTGGGATTCGGAAGGGTTTCAAGAGGCTACCGGGAGGGGCGTGTTTAAGGGCATCATAAGGGTATTAAGTAGGGGCTTCGCAAGTAAGGCTTTCACCAGGTTCATGTTAGGGTTTGCTGGATTGTTAAAGTTTCATATGTTTGGCTTTGAGATGACTACGTTGGACTTTGAGTTGTTTTTCTCGTTAGAGGCTGTGGAGAGTTTTGAGGCTTGGGGTTTGTACTTTTGAGTTTAACGACAGGCAGGACACTTTTCGTTGGTACTGTCTTTCGTCCCTCTTCTTGTGTGTTATGTTGTGTTTGACTCCAGGCAATCAACACGGCACGCTCGATGTACATATGTTCAAACAGCATTAAGCATCAAGCCTCTCCGATCGAGGGTCGTTTCAAAACACGATGGCCATTGCCTCAGGTTAGGGTTTTGTGTCTAGGGTAATTAAGGTTCTACAAACCATACGGCTCTAACGTACTATATGCTAGAAACGTTACTCCATAACCTGCGGCGCCACCAGCAAGGAAGTCCGTAGAGATCATCACTCCGGACCTTACAGTTGGGTAGTTGTCAAAACTAGGGTCCTTTGTTGGGGTCCTTAAAAAATACGGCACCTGTAGGGTGCCCCAGAAACCATAATTTTGACAACTACCCAATTTGGATCCAGAATCCCAACATCCTAAAAGGCCCGGGATGACCTAGCCTCGCTCCAGAGCATTCTAGAAGCCGTTTAGGGTTTAGGGTATGGTTTAGGGTTTAGGATTTAGGGTTAAGGGTTTAAGTAGTCGAGTATAGTCCCTATATAATCCTTTAGGGTTTAGGGTTTACCTAGTAGTCGAGTAGGCAACCTTCAACCTTTTTGGGGTAGTATAGTCCCTACATAATCTCTATATAACCAAAACAGTTAACCTTGAGTTCCCCATGATACACGACAAGTAGGTGTAGGGGCCGGGGAAGCTAGCTGTAGAAGCCTGCGCTATAAGTACTAGCCACAACCCTATTCTAATTCTTAAGGCCCCTATATTGATTACGTCGGGGTTCAGGGCCTTGGGTCTTACGGTTCAGTGTCACGAGACTCTAGATGACAAGTTTTGGCATACGGAGTTCACGGCTTTGGTCTTAGGGGCTCCATTTCAATAACCGGCCAAAGCGAATAAAGTAAGTTGTTGTAGCCCATTGTTTCTGCGATCAATCAAGTACACACGAATATTACATTCACTCACATGTATAATTGTGTAGGTATACGCACATATACACATGTAGATATGTGTGTATATATGTATATATGTATGTACATATTTGTAGCCTCAGTTCCCAAAGACTCCGTCAACACTCTTCGAGGATCTTTCAGATCACACATTCGTGCTCTTCGGCGCGGGCAGCTTCACAAGCATCCTCTAAGGTCTCTTCTTTGAATACAGGTTCCGTTCAGGGTATAAGGGTAAGGTCTATAGTAGACAACTTTGACCCCAGAACGTGTACTTGAGGGACACGGTTCTATGCGAGCTCCTTTAAGGGTATAAGAGTTTAAGGACCCATCTAGATCATAGGCTACCGATACATTGCTGTTAAGGATATAAGCATAAGGGTTTATGGGTTCAGGGGTTTAGGGTTTAGGGATTAGGATGTCCGGCGGTTTAGGGTATAAGGATACGGGCTGCAGGCCCCTAGTGTACAACTTTGACCTTAGAGTACCTGTATAGGGACACTGCAGGTCCACAGTATGTATACTATTCGGGCACACGGACCCTTAGGAACCCGTGGGAGGATCGGGTGACTTAGTGAGTAAGGTTGTAAGTACTGTACCTTGATTTGGGTTATAAACAACTATGAGTATACTTTCCCTGCTTGCAACCACAGCCCCATGATAAGTCCCATGATCTTTTAAGTAGGAATCCCACAGTCCTGGTTGCGATCGTGTACGACTTGTCATGTCCCTTTGTTCCCTGTTCCTTAAACTCTACAAACCCAAAACCCCTAAACCCCTGAAGCCCTAAACCCCTGGACCCCTAAACCCCTAAACCTCTAAACCCCAAGCCTAAACCGTATAACCCTATAAACCTCTAAACCCTGAACCCGCACACCCTAAACCTGTAAAACCGTCTACCTTCAAACCCCTTATAGAACGCCTTATAGATTCCTTTAAAGGAACGCTTATGGATCCCTTTTAACGCCTATAACCCCTAAATCCCTTAACCCTCAACCTCTTTTGTCCCCAACACGGGGAAATCCCAGGCTCGGCGATGGGCCCCTTTCCAATTTTGTCACTCGGCACCAGGGTGCCGGGGGATTCAGGTTTAGGGGCTTAGGGGTTTGGGGATTTGGGGGTTACGGATTTAGAATTACTTCAGTTGGCTAGGGATTTGGGGCATTGAGGCTGTGAGGGTTGGCATCGAGGGTTCCAGTCTACCTATATGACTATATGGTCTTCATTGCAGTGACCCTACATAGTTGGATAAGCAAACAAAGGAACCAAACAGAGACTATGGGTACTTCTCCAGGGTTAAAGCCTTATTGGCCAAGGTTTTTGGGGTTCAGGGCATCGGGATTTGGGGTCGTTAAGTTGTGTCAGGATGTTCAGAAAGCGAGCCAAAGTCGTCCGTTACAGCGAATAGAAGGTTTTGAACAGCTTGTATATGGGAGTTTCCGAAAATGGAGAATCCTAATACAGGACCCGAAATAGGAGGATCCTTCATTAGAAAGTACCCAAAATGAGGTACCGTTAATTTTCGCACACTCCCATATAGTTCTGTTTTTCCTAGTGACGAGTGTGCTCGAACATGTTTGTTTCTATGATCGGCAACCCAGAACTGTAGTTTAAGCATGAAAACTTCTATACTAGCTTGCTTTGATCTGTAGAAGCCGACATTCCGAGCACACCAAAATGCATCCAAAAGGGGTCTGTCATTTTTGTGTTTGTAATCGTGGTTGCAGTGGTTTTTTCACGAGCCCTAAGGACTGCTATTGATGAAATGATCTAGAGCCTCAAGCTCTAAACTCTAAATCTTGTGAGTGGTGCCCCTAAAACCGTAAACTCCCCTTAGATAGTGAACGAGGGAACTTTAAACTGGTTGCCTTATATATATATATATATATATATATATATATATATATATATATACATACACATTATATTGCATATACATATATATAATAATATATATATATATATATACCTTAGAAAGTTAGAACTTATTGGGGCCCGGTCGTTGAAGAAGAGAGTCCCGCAGTCCACGACGCAAGGATGTCCTTGGGTGCTCATGTGGTGGCAATCGACCTACCGCGGCCGGCCATCTGGAAGAGGCCCGGCTGTCTGGGACTTTTTTGCAAACTTCCCAGAAATTTCGTTTAGGGGCTCTCCTTAGGGGTACTATAAGGGTTCCTTTGAGGCTTTAAGGGATCTTTAGGGATGCCTTTGAGGGTTCCTTTAAGGGGTCTTTGAGGGTTCCTTTGAGGGTTCTTTCAACGGGATTTGAAAGGGTGTTGCAAGGTTCCTTTAGGACCGGCTCCTTTCTTCGACAAGGGTTCCCTGAACCGTTCGGTGCTGTAAGAAGTACGGCAAAGGTTGTTAATATACGGTTACTACTACTCGCTATTTCGACCCCTATAATTTGGGAGTCCTCTGGTGTTAGAGTTTACGGTTTTGGGGGAGTTCTTCTGCGAGTTAGGTCTGAAATGAGTCACTACGGTACAGGAGGCGCATCTGAGTACTGTCTCCATCTATCTATTCATCCCTCCATCTAAACATACATGCATACACACATGGGTGGTTGTCAAAATAATGGTCCCTTTTTGGGTCCCTATTATAGTACGGCACCTAATATTTAGGGTGCCACATACCCCATTGCATGGTAGGTTGAACTGATTTATCCAACAAGAAGTGGACCAAAAGGTAGGCAGAGGTGGAGATCCACGTCCCCAACACTCTCCCACACTTCCTCGATTTGGGGTTTAGGGTCAGGGTCTAGGGCGGGCTTAGGGCTAAGCTATGCCTGCCCGAAGCTTGCCCAAAAGTCAGGCAATTTAGCCACACCAGGACATCAGAATTCAACAAAAAACCCTAAACCCTAAACCCTCTACTTTGTTTCCACCCTAAACCCTATACTTTAATTGAACCCTCAACCCTATACTTTAATAAAATAATAATGAGCCCAGAGTCTCACCCATTTTGAGCCGAAAGCCCTGGATCCTAAACCCCTAGAGGACCCCAACCACATACCCAAGATACCCTAAACTATTCGAGCCTTATAGTAACCCTTGTATGGACCCTTATGATGGTGACCCTTATCGTGGCCCTAATGGCAACCCTGTAAAGAACCCGCTTGGAAACCAAACGGAGCCGCCATCAAACCTTGCACTAGGACTCCGAATAGCAGCCCCTGCCTGAAGGCTCATATCAGTCGCCCGAGACTCCCCTGGCAAGCTGACGATGCCTCTGACGAAAAAGGCATCGGGAGAGGGCAGCGGGCTTGGGAATCCCTCCAGTTGCAGTTGCCTTGAATCCGGTCAACATCTCATTCGGGCTCTGAGGGTTTAGGGCTCAGTTTGGGTTTCTTTGTAGAGTTTCACTGCTGAGGAGGGTTGTTGATGCTGGTCGAGGGGCTTGAAGTGTGTGCGATCCTAGCATTCCACCCTGAGCTTATGCAACTTGGTAGGTGCCCAAATCCCCAGCCTGCCAAAACCGTTTTATCCCGAGCGCGAACCCTGTAATCCCAACAGAATGTATTCCTAAATATGTGAAACCCATTTGCATCGCGATTGGGTCGTCCGGAAAGAGTCAGTTCTGTTTGGCTCGTTTGTGTGGTCATTGTTTTTGGATTCTTCTTGGCGGTGGTCTGGTTGGCATTTAGGGTTTACATTGGGTTAAGTTAGGCCTCACCTAAACAGTTCGTGTAAAGCGCTCTCAGGACTCTTTATAACCTTATTAAACGCTTAACTATGCGTCAGAGTCAGGTATCCGATTCTGCTGACGATGCAGAGCTGGCCGAATGTGCTGGTTGTGCCACTCGCCTTGGCTCTTGCAGCTCCAATCGGTGCAGGTCTCAGGTACAGGGCTTGGGGGTTTAGGGTGGAGATTAGTGTTTCGAGCCTAAAGCATCGGTCCTGCGAGCCGGAGTTTGTAGTGGTGGCTTTGTTTGATTGGGTGTTGATCTTTCGGATCTAATTAATCTCAGGACGAGTTGTGCCGTTTTGGGATGTTGGATTTGGGCAGCGGATCATGAGCCTCGTGTCCTTTCTCGGACCTACGTATAGATCTAGTGCACCGGAAGCTGTGGCTTCAGGCTTGTAGGGGCAGCAAATGTTTCGTCGCAGGATTGAGCGTTGAAGGTTTTAGGTTCGGGATTGAAGGTCTCAATTATGGTTAGAACTTGAAGGTTAAGTTAAAGGCATTGAGTTTGGGATTTTTGGTTTGGGGTCTCGCCATCCAGGACCAGGTGCAGTAGCATGCGTACAGTTCATAGCTCCAACTGACTCAAGAGATGTGGCGACCAATACACCAGTACACAGCGGTTGGCTGAGGGTTTGGGGTACAGGCTTGGCTGAACCGTGGAACCACGATGCTTCCTGTGCAACATGAAAAGTAACTTCAGTATCTCACAACTTCAACATGTAATCTGGTGCCGTGCCTCGCATCTGACCCTGCTCGGAGTACAGCATACGCGAAACCCTGTGGTCCGTGGTAGAGAACACTGGTAGAGAACATGCTCGAAATCGTCGGTTTCCGGATAGCTTCTCGTTTTGTTTTTTTTAGGGTGGGGTTGGAGTTGTGGTTGCTATCCAGACACTCTCTGTGCTTTCAGCCACGAAGCTTCAACCGGCTGCAGCCAAGGACCTGCTGATGCAAACTCCCGAGGCCTGCTTTTCTGAAGTCTTACCTAGTAGTAGCTTTAGCCTTTCGGGGCAAGTCTATCCTCTTTATAAAGATGAACCTTCAGTCCCCGGTGGGATACTGAAGGAGTACGTTTAGCTACGTAAGTCCGCTACGCAGGATTTCGTTGTTTTTTGAAGCCTGGGTTTGAGTCGCTCCTCATTAGCCTCATTACAGAAAACCCCATAAAGTTGGAAACCTGATTAAGGCCAAATAGTGCCGGGTTTCCCTATACATTACTCTCAAGGATTGAGGCTATTGGGTTTCCAACGTTTGGGCTTCTACTATAGGGCTGTTAGGGTTTAGGGTTGATTCAGATATGCCACTGTTAGTGCATGGGCAACCTACCTGTTTCGGCATTGTTGCCATTTCCGATTACAAAACCCTCAAAAGAGTTTGTTTTTCAGAGTTCCAGATGATATCATGAATTTCGATTTCCTTTCGCTAGATGTTCACAAACCGTGCCTTGTAGCTTGATAAGCCTTCATATTGCCCTGCGTGCTGTCTTCTGAACCAGTATGCGCTGAACCCTAAAGCCCCAGTTTGAATTTGCGAGCCCTACATCCAAACCTCTTAGGTGAGCCCTAAGTTCCAACTCTAGGCCTCTCAACCTTTATGTTTTCTTTGCTTGAAGAGCCCGGAAAACCGACCTCAAACCGTACGACACATCATAGTAGGTCATGACCGCATATTTATGAGACTGCGCATACCCATAACAGAAGATCGAAGTTTCCATAACAAGCTGAAAATACGAGGCTCAGTGATCCACACTTAAACCCTAAGCCCTCAACCCCAAAAACCTCAACCCGAAACCCCGCTTTGCTGGTAGGTGCGAAGCTGGCTGAAGGGCCGCCTGGCCGAGACTTGTCATAGCTCCGATCTATCGAATCGGCTTAGGGCTCAGTAGGGGTCTAGGGTTTAGTCGATAGTATAGGGCCTAAATAGTTGCCGATACGATTATTCTGCTGGTTCCATAGTATGCTTATGGCAAGAATTTACCGCCGAAAAAACTATTCTAGATATTAAGTTTTTAGGGCCCCTATTATTAGGCAGCTCTAGGTTCGAGGTGTTCGCTCTTGAAGGCAATCTTAGCAGTTCATTAGGTAGGCCTTTCAGACATTTTACATGTTCCGTGATTGGGCCCAAGAGGATCTTACATGCGGCTGTTGTTGGGAGGACTAACAGGACGAACCTAGCTTAGTAGAGTATAGTATAGTCTAGGCGTATGAGGAGGCAAGAAAGTGTCTTAGAGCCTCCAAGCAAAGTCCCGGCTAGAGCTGATGTTATGACTTGCAATGGTCCAGCCTTTACCTGAGCCCCAAACAAAGATGACCCTATTCAAGGACTTACTTGTGTAAGGAACCTAAACCCTAAACCCTAAACCCTAAACAACCCATAGATAGGAGCTCTAAACATGTGGGTTTCGTATGGTCCAGGTCGGAAGGAGCTTTCAAAGGGGTGTCAAGTCTAGGATTGGGCTTTGGGGCTCAGGGCCTTAAGAAAGCCTGGGGCTGGCAGGGGGTTCAGTATTTGGAGTTTAGGGTCTAAGGGGTTTGGGATTTAGGGTTGAGTTCTGGAGTTGCAAAAACTCTGTTGCGACGCCAAGCCCTGAACCTCCAAAGCCATCTAAGCCTTCCCAAACCCCCTGACAGGCAACCCCAAGCCCTCAAAATACTGAACTCGGCTCGACGGCCTTCGAAGTAGCCTACACTCCAAGCGGGTCTTTTTTGTTTTATGACGTCTTATGAAATGCCACCTATCCGGAATTCCAATCCCCACGGCAGGTTTAATTTAAAAGGGGCACCACCCGAAATGCATTTCGGCAGTTCCAGTACTCGCCAAAAATCTCCTGGATGTCCACAGCCGTACGCAGGTCTTCCAATGTCCGCCTGAAGTAAGGCATATACAGTATATACACCAGGATCCCGAATGTGATTTGAGGTCTCTTCCTTACTTCAGGGATATTGGAGGATGCAGGGACGTGTTGGAATTGAGTGAGGCTATCAGACTATGAGCGCATGAGAAGCTTTCAGTTATTGGCTTGGGACATCTGCAAACCCTGAACTCTCCAGTTAAGTTCGAGCGTTGAAGCCTGGGGCAAGCCCTGTAGTTGGAGGTTCATGGTAGTTGAATTGGTTTTTATAGCTAAATAAAGATATGCTATTCATATAACCCTAGCTACTAAGTCCCGTGAACCTGTAAGTACTGCTAAGCGGTAATTGAGCAGGTGTCTTAAGCTCCTCCCAGCGCGTCGTTTTGGGGGCCTACTGCCGCTTGGACATGTCCAGACACGTGTTTCTGTCGGTGCCCAGAGAGTGTTGTTTGGTCGCAGATCCCGACATGCAGTAAAGCATAAACCTGAAGCCCTACTTAAGGTAACACCTGGCTTCGAGTTGGGGAGTGTGGATTGCATGGTTTTGGTGCAGTGGGAGGGGGGAAGGGGTGGGTTGAGATGCTTCAAGGATTCCCAGCAGCACAGCTCTGGAGTTGTCCCTTGGTCCTGGCACCTGCACGATTGCTTTGAACGCAATGAAAAACATGCTGATGTGCTTCATGACCTGCAGAAAAAGCTCTTAGTTAGTAGAATCACGACACATTTATCGGTTGGGTGCTTAGACGGACCTGCGAATGGTGCAGAGTGTAGGGTCGCCGGATAACCTAATTCAGATTTCAGGATCATTGTGCGAAGCTTTCGGGTTTTAGGGTAGCCGGGTTAGTAATACTTCTCTTTGCACGTATCCTGAACTTCTACTAAGCCACACTGTAACCCTAAGCTGCACAGTGTTCAAGTGGTGGAATGCCACATCGCAAGAATCTAAACTCGACACCCCGCTCCCGAAATCCTGCACATTTGCTTTCCCCTAAACTCGAAACCCTAAGACCTAACCCTAAAACCTGAAACCTAAACCCTAATCCTAATCCCTGAACCCTTAAACCTGGATCCCCGTTTTGAACAGAACCGTCGGAGGCTATGCGGACGGCCCTCTCTTCGTGCGAGTAAGCGTCGCCATGGACGCCGCTTGACTTCGCCCTAAGCCCCAAACCCGAAACCCCAAACCATCCTAAGCCCGAAAACCTAAACCGCCCCAACCCCAAACCCTAACCCCAAAGGGATCTCCTCATCCTCGAGGGTCCATGTTCGAGGCCCCAAAGAAGCACCCAAACACAAGCATTTTGGTTGGGCATCCCTACCTCAATTATCGGCTTACTTTACGCTTGGGATCGGGGACTCATATAGTGCCCTAAGTACTAGGATCCTTAAGGTACCCCTAATTTTCGGAAACTCCCATATCTCAACCGCCCGAGAGACTTCCAGATGCCCACCCCTCGAGTCTTAAACCATCGCTAACATCCCCCTGAATCCTGAGCCTTACATCCCGGACCTTAAAGTGACCTAAACTTTAAATTCTGCTCCCAGAAAACCAGAGCTGTATTGTCAAAAAAACCCGACACCTCGAACACGCCCTCAGTACGATGCAAACCCTTATCTTAGCTATCGAGGGTGTAGTGTTCAAGGTTTTTACATATATGCTTTTTATAGGTTAAGACGTGTAGAAGCGGTTATCCGCATTTAGTCTCCTGGTTTGATGGTGGACAGGAAGGCGCTTTCTGCCTGTGTAACGACGGGCGACGGGCGATGACTTTGGCAAATCGGAAGTCAGGATGACACGTGGAGCAGTGGATTTCTTTCTGCATACAATGGCATTGCGGTTGCTCGTGCTGGAGAGAGATGGGAGTTTCCGAAAATAGGGGGCCCCAATATAGTACCCTAAATAGTAGGATCCTTTTTATAAGAGCCCCCAAATAAGGTAGCCATAATTTTCGGAAGCTCCCAGATGGCGGCCTGGTTGCAGTTCTTGTTGGAGGCGACTTGTAAGATGGCTTTCGAGTTCGAAATCATCGATATGGAAGTTTCCGAAAATAGGGGTACCTTATATTGGGGGTCCCTATAATAAGGATCCTACTGTGTAGGGTACCATATTAGGGCCACCTATTTTCGGAAACTCCCATATTGAACAGTTTCAAAACTTCAATACCCGCGACTGCTGCCTTATCTAAATTTGCACCCCCATTTACTGATGGCGACAAGCTTGTGTCTTCAACCCGAGCCCAGTTTAGACGGTGGCGTGTGTCGCAGAGGGAAGTGCTTCCCCGGTGCCCCCATCACCCAAGCCCTCGAAATGTACAATCTTGAGAAACTACTGACAGTATTCCGGGTTCCTAATGCCCTAAACCCTAAACCCTAAACCCTAATGACCTAATGACCTAATGACATGTACGGTTTGACACCTTCCCCTTGTAATTGTAAGCCTCTTACTCGATGAGCTGCCCCAGGCCCGACTGGAAACCACAAATTGTAGGTTAAGGGCAGTTTAGGACCTGGGATTTAGGGTTTAGGGTTTAGGACCTGGGATTTAGGTTTCACATCAAACCCCAATCCCGAAACCCTAAATGGACAGAGGCGGGAGAGAGTGAAAGTGGGACGGTTAAGCTTTGAAACAAGACCATAAACCCCCTAAACTAGATGAGCTCTAAACCGGTAAACTCTAAACCCGAAACCGTAACCCCCGAACTCTAAATCCTAAACCCAAACCCCTCAAGCAAAAAATCCTAAACCCTAACGCCCTAAACTAAACGTCCTAGACCCTACACCCCTACACTGCTATAAATCCTAAACCCTATAGACCCTAAACCCGACCAGTGGTTTTGGGTATTGGAGTTCCCCTCGAGGCCATCATCGCAGACTTGGTGGAGGAGCTGAAGGCTGCTAAATGGTTAGAAAAGGATAGGGCTTAGGGCCTAGGGTTACAGGTATAGGGCTCCGTTACAGGGATCTGTAAGGGGTTCTATAAAGGGCTTCGGGGTGTAGGGGTTTAGGGTCTATATAGTTTAGGAGTTTCGGTGTTTGAGGATTCTAGGTTTTTGAGGTTTAGGGTTTATAGTTGTGGTGTTTCAGAATCCTACTATTTGCAGTCAAAAGGGGGTACAGTATGCAGGGGTGTCGTAAAGTTAGGTGTTCCTTCAACCCTACATAAGCTTTAAGTTAAGTCCACCTTGAACCTCAGAACTTAGGGGTCCTTAGAAATATTTTTAATTGTTGGTTATTATAATCCCTAAGAAACAGCTTGAATTAACATTTTTGCTAGGGTTCCATGTTCAGTAAAAAGGTTGATGGTACTATACTAGGGTTCCCTATTTTCGGAAATTCCCATGTACTTTATTCAAAGTTTCTTAGATTCTTATGTTGTAGGGTTTAGTCCCTAAGCCCCAAACTGGTGCAGCAACCCTGGCCCGAAGAAGGCGCTTTACGGACCCGGGTTTCTGGATTTCGCTCGAGGACGTCACGCTCAGCTTTCGCGGACTCACAAGAGGCCCTCACAAGAGGCCCTACCCTAAGGCCCGAAAGTAGCTCCTTTTGGGGGTTCGTGTATAGAATCCTATAAGGTAATCCCCAAAAAGGAACTACTTCGGGGCCTATGGATAAACCCTAAACCCATCTTGGAATGCTTAGGTAGCCCTGGGCCTTGACGGTAAGGACTTCTAACAATTGACATATGTCAGACATATGGTAGCACATTAACAGAGAATAAACAAATAGTTGTGATATTAATATATGAAATTCACATATTTCTAATGTTATTAAATCATTATACTTCGATTCATCTAGGCATCCCGTCCGGCTCTAGCTTCCTTTTAGGATGACGCCCACAATTGGTTCAGTTACTAAACATATGTCCGTAATGGATTGGGGCTAGATTTTAGGGAGGAGGTAGACTCCCCAATTGTACCCTCCATTAGAGCTAGCATGCAGGCGCTTTTGCACCACGGGGGATGTATAACCCTAACACTTATCTCTTAAATCCTAAACCTTAAATTGAATTGCATTTGCGGAGGTTGGAATGATAGGCACTCAGGCACTCAGTACCCTGAGCCAGACTAGATTACCAGACAAGAATGCAGCAACAATGGGTTCTAATGTTTCCTGGATTGTATTGTACTTTAACCTTGGGTTGTGCTGCGACGAGGTGCCGCCTGCGATCGCCTACCTTTGCACACCAACTGATGCTCACGACGCTCGACTTGACACCTAGTTTGGTTTGGGGTTAAGGGTCAAGGGTGTCCTGAGCGCCATGTTTTGGAGCATCTGACGTGTAAAGTGAGTATAGTGTTTATATTGCACACAGAAACAGTTCCATCCGCATATCCTTGATCCAAACCGACACCTCATATCCCGAGTCTTTCGCTACCAACTCTGGCAAGTCTGACCGCAGCTGCAAGTAACGCTTTACGGTAAGATTCCTGTACAGCACTGCAGTCAACATCACCTTGAGCCCCACTGTTTCTTCCCCAACTAGCTATACTAGCTTGGGAAGTATATTAGTATTATAATGTACCAATATAGGATTATAATTGGGGTAACCATATGTATCATTAAATACAGATACCTTACCAAATCGCATGATCCTCCAAGAACAGAGCAGTCCTCTGAAAGGTTTGCACCGCCAGCGCTCGCGATGCTGCTGCCGATGCACTCCGCTTCTCGGATATGCGGCAGAGTCGTGATAGGCTTGTTTTAGGGTTTTGTGGTTCAGGTTTTGAGGTTTAGGGCGTGTTGGGTTCAGGGTTTTTGTTTTGGGGTTTAGGGTCTGGGATAGCGGATAGTGTACTTCAGGTTTTCAGGTTTGGGAGTAGAGGTCCCGACTGTTATCCTAGCTAGGTTCTCCAGTGGTACCCTTCTGGCCCCTCTATTTTGGGATCTTCCTATCTGAACCGAATACTAAGAAAAAGGGTGCGCTGATTTTGAAGGGGGCTGGTGGAGAACCTAGCTGATGTTCTTTCTTGTATCACCATCTTTTTTGGGTTGGAGTCCAGTAAGAAGCTCTTTGCAAAGAGACGGACTTCGCATGGCATGTGGAGGAGCCCCTCGAAACGAAAGCCCTGTTTAGTTTTGAACTGCGAAGACTTGGAAACAAATTTACCCAATAGCTTCATGCTCTAGCTAGGGTTTGAACCGCATGCTTGAAATTCGATCAGGGTCGGGTCCGATCCCACCACAATTCCGGAAACCCAGAATGGAGGTCCGGATATATAATAATTACTACGACGAATAGTTCTAAACCCCCCGAACCCCAAAAAAAACACACAAAAAAAAAAAAAAACGAAGCCCCAGACCCTAAACGAATAATCCTAACCCCCAAACCCCAGAGCCCCAGTCCTTAAGTCCAGGACACCGAACTTGACTAGGTAGGGGGTTGGGTTTGGGTCTCCAGGGTTTTGGGCGTTTGGGGTTTCTAACTAGGTTGGGCGTAGTGTTTAGGGCTTAGTGTTTAGGGATATTTTACATTTCCCCTCATGGGGCTCAAGCGGATCTCAGATACGAGCGTTTTTCAAAGACCGTTAACCCTAAACCCCTAAACCCCGAACCCCCGAAACCCCACCCCAAAACCCCGGACACTCAGCCCCTAAACCCTAACCCTTAAACCCTAAACACTAAACACTAAGCCCAACCTATTTAGAAACCCCAAACGCCCAAAGCCCTGGAGACCCGAACCCAAACCCCTAAACCCTAAGCCCAAAGGCCCTAAACCAACCAAACTCCTAAACCCGAAACCCCCAAAGCCTAAACCCCAAACCCCCAAAAACCCAAAGCCCTTAAGCCCCTAAACCCTACAACCCTAAACCCCTAAACCCCCTAAACCCCAAACCCCCTAAACCCCCTAAACCCCTAAACCTTTCGTAGAGAACGCGAGGCAAAGCTCCTGCGTGGCAGGGCCTCCTCAGTCGCCTCCTCTCCTTCGCCAAGATGGGCCACTTGGAGCTGTAGCTTAGGGCTTCGGAGGCTTAGGGTTTGGTGTGATTTGGGGTTCAAAGGTTTAGGGTTGAGGGGTCTGTGGATTAGGGGCTTACGGTTTGAGGGTGTCGGGGGTGTCGGGGGGGTTAGGGATCTTAGAGATGTTCCTCATACCATTCCTTAAGGTTCCATGGTATGCTTGCAGGAGAATAGACCCCATCACCAAGGTCTAATCGTTTACATTTTTGTTTTTTTTGGGTTTAGGGTTTAGGGGTTTGTTTTGTGCTTGAGAGTTTAGTTGGGGTTTCTAGGCTTAGCCGCTAATTCGGAGCCGCAGTTTTGGAGTGTCTGCGAGGTCTGGCTTAAGCCTCGTGAAACCCTGGGCAGGACCTGCAACTGTGACACTACGTCCATCTTGCTCAAGCATTATTGTTGCTTACTATGCTCCTCTGCTCAAGCACAGCTGATGACGATGGCTGCAACGATTGCGGTGCTGATCATGATGATGATAATGACGACGATGATAGTGATATTGATGATGATGATGACGATGATGACGGTGATGATGATGATGATGATGGTGAGATGATGGTGATGATGATGGTGAGATGATGGTGATGATGATGGTGGTGATGATGGTGATGATGATGCTGATGATGGTGATGATGATGACGGTGATGATGGTGATGATGATGATGATGATGATGATGATGGTGATGATGATGTTGATATTGTTGACGGCGATGGTGATGGTGATGATGACGTTAGTCATGAGGATGCTGATGATGGTCATGATGATGTTGATGGTGGTAGTAGTATGATGTGAGTCGCAGCGACGACTATAGCGATGATGAGACCGATGAGACCAATGGCCATAATTATTGTGACTTCGACACTGACGATGTTCATGATCGTTCCAGTTTCGACGATGACTGCGATGATACTGGTATAATCTACTACAATAATATGCCACAGTGCATTATAATACACTAGACCACAATATGTTAGAGTATGTTTGGTGAACTCGATGTATGCCATGATGGAGGTGAGCATGTTGAGAAGGACTATCTTGATTGCCGGGGTCCATTTGTCAGTACAGCCAAGAGCTCACAAAATTTCTAAACCCTAAGTCAACAACCTTAAGCCCTAAGTGCTACCCCCAAAACCAATTCAATCCCTAACCCGCAAACAGTCAGTCGCTGTTGCTTTTAGAGTTTTTCCAACAATCCAACAAGAATTGAGCAGTGGCTAGGCCTGGCACCCAACAAGGTGAAGACGGAGGCCAGGGCGTCGTTTGCAGGGTTTAGGTTTCAAGGTTTCCTAAACCCGAAACCGATTTAGACCTTAATCTAGTGACTTGTTCATTCAGGGTCTAGGATTTAGGTTTTGGGGTTTTGGGTTATAATGTTTCAGGTGTAGTCAACATGTCGGACACCGACCTTGTTTCCTGAGTATAGCTGCAGCTCTCCCGTTTAGACGGTCTGCTGCGGAAGATCTCCAACGAGAGGCCTGTCTGGGAGCATAAAATCAAGGTGGCTAGAGTGGCTAGAGATGTAAGTGGCTCAAATGTTGCTCGTTGTCACATCATACTGTTGATGATGTAAATCCTGCATTACCTCAAAGACCCGAAACTATGGGAAGTATGGTATATTCCTTATTATGGGTCATGCAGGAATTATATCATCAACCGTATAACCACCCATGGACCTTCAGGCCAAGAGGTGAACGATTGAACACTCCAACCCTCCAAACCCCAAGCCTAACTCGAAAGCAGCTGCTGGATGTGTGTGTCATGTTATGCTATGTACTGTTATCTCAAGTTACGTGTATATATGTATGTACATATGTATATATGCATAGGTAGATAGATAGATAGTACACATGCATGCGGAGGGATTGCAACCGCGGATATGATGATTAGTGAGGCCTCCCACGCGCTTTCGAACCCACCAGGACGGTGCCCTTCCGGTGGTTGACGCCCTGGCCCGGGTGCCCAGCACTTGAGGTAAGATGGGCGCCATCTGTGAGGTTCAGGGTTTAGGGTGTATCCGGACCCCTCAAAATATGTAGAGTAGCAGCCTTTTGTAGGAGTTGGGCCATGATTTTACCTACTTTGAGAGGTTTAGGGCTTACTGTAGGCTGTAGATGCCGGGTCGGGTTTAGCGTTTAGGAAGGAATATACCTTAAATCATATTAGGGATCCTACTATAATTTAAGGTATATTCCTTGATTAAGGGGTTTTGGAGGCTCTGGGGGTGTAGGGGCCGGTTATACCGGTAGCAGTAGTGTTCCCAACAGTTTCGTATTGTCGCTACCGTAACGTAGTAAAGAGATGCACCGAAATCGGTATTCCTCCAGAAAGGCTCCTGTGTGAACGATTTTGCATGGTGAAAGTTTCGGAGGATGCCGAAGTCTGCGACGCTCGCGCAACAGTATAGTATAGCACAGCTTAGCCAAGACACTGGTTTAGGGTTTAGGGTTGTTGAAACTCAACTCCACACCCGTATTTAAAAGCCATGAAAGCCCTAAAGCCTTATGCCACCACTCCGAAGCTGAGCACATAAGTTGAGTTTAGGGTTTAGAGTTTAGGGCGTTTGGGGTTTTGGGTTTACAGGGTTTTGGGCTTGTAGGGTTTGGGGTTAGGCTTGTGTCGGGTTTTGGGTGGGTTTAGGCTTTGAGGTTTGTTGCAGGGTTCCTTTAAATTCTGTAGATATTAAGGCCTGCAAGCAGACCCTACTGCAAAAAAAGTAGGTTTTCGTAGCTGGAGGTCTCCCGACACAAACCGAGGTTGGCCCCCAAATGCAGTACAACTTGGCAGCTGAGGTAACCTTTAGCGTGCTTGGTTACATATGATCCCACCAGAATGCGTAGATTAAGCTGCTTTTCCAAGACCCCGCACCATACAATCATACTCGCAGCAGCCGCTTTGAGTTGCTTTTTGAGTACCTGAATACCCTGTGGATTCTTCCTAGAGGTCAAAGAGCAGGGTCCGAACTACTGTTTGGCGAAGCGATTGCAGCACTGGCGGGTGCCGCGGCAGCAGAGATATTGCCACATATGTAGATGCATATTGCTTTTGGACGGTGTACGTAGTGAGAGGTTCAAGTTGTTTTATATACAAGTTTGGGGTCAAAGGTTGCGGAGTATTACAGGACTTTAGCGTCTACTGCTCTAAATCTTGGATCAGTTTATTAAACTATTCAGCCGTTCAATAGATCTTTTCAGTGCCAGCCCAGCATAATCCCTCGCCGTGTGAAGACTTGCAGATCCAGCATGATAGGTTCCGACCCCAAACTACCAACTTACTAGCAACCACTGTTTTTCGTAGGGTCGTAACATGAGCCTAGTAAAAAATATAGCCCCGCTACCCTGGACCCTACACTCTAAATCCCCACGAACATCAGGTTCGTTCAGGTTAAGGTAGCAGTTACTCAGTCTTGGTTCCGCTTTCGTTGGGCGTCCCGCCCGTTAGGGGAATTCGAGCCAATACGAGAGCTTAGGGTTTATATACAGTTTTATATACGGTGGATACTAGTTTGTATATGATCTGCATACACAGTTTGCACAGTACGTACTTGTATAGGGTTTGGGTCTACACGAGGTCTGATCTTTAGGACGCAGAGCCAGCTTCAATTTTTGAATTGAGGTTTGCAGGGTTTAGGGTTCAGGGTATTGGGATGGGAGGGTGTTGGGTTGCGTGTATGTAGGCTTCTGTTGCGTAGCATAATATGAAGTGAGGAGGTTATGGGGGAAGGTTAGGCCCATCAACGACCTTTAACTACCAAATCCTACTTTTCAGTAGGATCATTAATTATAAGCCCTAAGCTCGGATTTATAGGGGCCCTACAAAATGGTCGGTTTTGGTCGATTCAGGGAGGTTTCAGTCAGCACCCGGCGGATTGAACCCTAAACCGGCTGGCTCTTCTCCAAAGATCGGAAGCTGAGGCCATCACGGCGCGAAAGAAAGGCGCTGCCACTTGCTTTCGCTATTTTTCCGGGATGGGCCAGTCCAGAAGCCACGCCCGAAGCCCTGAACCTGAACAGATCCCGTCAGCCCTGAAGGCCGAAACTCTATGCTGAAAAGGCGGAATTTCCCCTGTTGCCAGGAAGCTTCCGGAGTTTCTGGTCACTGAGCAGTTTACATCCCCTCCAAATTTCGAGTCATGAAAAGCTAGACCTTGTGCCGAAAGTTTGCATCCGCGCAGGCTGCATCGTGTCGAGCAACATTGCTCCTGCTACTGCCACGGCCTCCGTGGTGTCGAAACTTGGCCCTGGAGCATGGTTTTGGGATTATTTTCAGTGCAACTGTGCAGGGACTATGAGGGAACATGAGCAATAATTACAGTGCGCAACTATACAGGGACGATGAGGGAACATGATTACTGGCTCATCTTGTGTCCAGCATGTAGGGTTTAGGGTTTAGGGCCTTTCCTCTTTGGGTGTTACAACTTTAGTCGCTACGGGTTGATGTATGCAGCTTAGGGCTTGTTCTAGTCTTTGTGTTCATGGATCCTTCCGGCATCATTGCTAGACCACTCTGTTGAAAGGCATGGCCTCGTAGCTGAAGCTAGAGCTTTTGTCAATGGCACCTGGCATCACCTAGCGGTTTTTCTCGACGAAACAGACAAGCTAAAGCATCATTCTAGGATGCAGCGGGGATAGTCGAATACGTTATCATATAATGTAGTCGAAAATGCGTATAGTATATAGCATGGCAGAATGCAATGCATTTTGTATACAGGGCCAGTTCCGGTTGGGACTGGAGACTCTAGCAAGCAAGGAGTCAAGTTCTCGAGCTTACAGAGAATTGCTCTACACCACCACAGAATGCAATTGAAAACCTTGCCGTACATACTTCCTGTTTCTGTAAATTCTGGGGCTCAGGGGTTTAGCTGCCCCACGCCCGGTTGCCTTAATATTAAAGCAGGAAAAAATCTAAACACAAAAGCCTTCAAAGCACCAAGAGATGGCGACCAAGGAACAAGTCCTTTGCACTGGCATACAAAGGCCACGTGTCGGCACGTAGCTGTGATAGAGGGGGCGGAATACTTCGTAGCAATGTTGGCTTAGAGTCCAATCTACCCCCAACAATTAAGGTGGTGTAGCACAACCACAAACCTATCTGTAGGGCTGCTTTTTGCTCTGACGATTGTGGCGCGAACCACAACCCAAACCCGTTTCGTTGAATTGCTATATCGGGATAAGGGTCGTTCGGCAGATCCCCTAACTGACACCCCAAGCCCTACCTTAAGACTCAACTAGAAGCCTTAAGACCCATTGTTTTCGGATTCAGAATAAAGACAAACCCTACACCGGGTTGAGTCTTGAGCGTTCAGTTCTACAGCCCACAAAATCCTGCATCCCCTATCCCAATGCAGTTTGGCACTGGAAGCCGAATGCCCCAGACTTCAGTGAAGGGTAAAGCGTTTAGGGTTTCGGGCTAGGGGGAAAATCCTTGAGGATTCTGGCTGTCAGGCTCAGGGTATCCCCAAACCCTGAACCCCAAACCCTGTTTCTTTAGGGTTGTGGATCTATACCTTAAACCACCAAACCCTACTGTTTTGTAGGTTCTTATTATAATCCCTGATATGGAATTTATAGGGATCCTACAAAAAGGTAGGTTTTGGTGGGTTAAGGTAGGGTGTAGGACTCAAACCCGGGAGGTATGCACCATTTCAAGCCTATGGAAGTGTTCCAAGGCGGCTGCTCGTAGCATCCCATATGTGGGGTTTGGGTTTAGGGTTTAGGGTTTAGGGTTTGATAGGGTTCAGGGTTTCGGCTTCCTCGTGATGGTTTCCATGTATGTTGTAGGGTTTCAGGGCTTAGGGATCAGGTAAGAGTTGCACAGGAATCTCGCGACAGTTTCAGGCAGTGTACGGCTGAGGGTTTGGGCATTCTACCCCGGGACATACAAGGGTTACTACGGTTATTCATGAAGCATGCCCATGTTTTAGATGCAGCTCTAGTTGGGTCTTACCATTTCTATTCTGAGTGATGAGTCTACATCTACACATGTGTGTCGTCATCAGGTCCTAGTGAGATCCGAAGATGGGTTCAAAGTTGGGCATGCATGTTGTTTATTAGCTGCAGGACCATCAACTAATCCATGTGTATGAGCATCCTTTGTTTCAGGATAAACCAAAACCGGAACCCCCGAACCCTACACTCTAACCCATTCTACTGTTAAAAGGAGCTCCATGCGTTCTGCTCTTTTGTGTTTGTAGCGTTAGGGTTTGAGGCTCCGGGTATAGGATTGGGCCGGTGTGAGATGTTGGGATGTAGGGTTTGCCAAAAAGTGGGAGGAACTCGACCGTCCACGTCGATGTGAGCCCCAAACCCCTGTAACTCCAAACCCTTGAACAAAAACGTAAACTCTAAACCCCAAGCCCTTAACATTGACTGCGAGCTTGAGAACCGAAGCCCCACACCCGCCCACCTAACGCTTTAGTGTTCTTGCGAATTCTTTCTGTGCTTCTCAATATACCCCAAAAAATGCCTCATTACCATAAGAACCCCTGAAGAAGGTATCCCGAAGCTCGAATAAATTTAGCCACAGATTTCTACTGTAGTCCCTGGGCACTTAGAGTTTAGTGCCCAAGGTTAGTGTTTAGGTTCTACTGCAAAACTTTGTTCCAGACAATTTGAGGCCCCTGCAATGCGCTCTAGAACCTTTGTAAAGAATGAAACCATAGCCAAACCATAAACCCTAGAAAACTCTAACACCCTGGCTAAACCATGGACCCGACCCGAAACGCTTCATACATCCCGGACCCTAGTCCACCGCAGGTGAGACTTCGAACGCTGTGATGCTGGCGCTTTTGATCAACGATCTCCGGAATCCGCTCAGCGCAGGCTTCGATAGGGGGCCGAAAATCTTACCAATACTAGTTCGGGAGTTCCTACTATAGTTTTAGTATTTAGCATAATACTTCCCCCAAGACCCTATTCTAATTATTCAGGCCCCCTTGCACCTTCAGGCCCCTGTTCTAGGGGTTTTATTGGGGGTCTGTGGGTTTAAGGACCGGGTTAAAGGGTTTGGGGTTCAACAGCAGTTTGATTCTACGGGGCCTGGACAAGTGCAAGACACCAGTCCGAAGTCTCCTTTGAAGGATTGCTCTCAGGATTTGCTAAATGCAGTCACCTGGCTCGCGGTCTTTGCTTGTAAAGTGCTTAGTAGAGCTTGAGGCTACATCTGTTACACACTTTACACACTGCACGAGTGCGAATAGTGTGATGCAGAATCTGCCTCTCAAGCGCTGCCCTGATTGAGGGTGTGTAGCTTGCCCAAGCCGCGCTCATAGCATGCTGCACGGCGGACAGCGCTGGATGAGTAAACAGTTCAGTGTGTGGTCAGGGTTTAGTATGCGGGGTTTCGCTTCATGGCGATTTCATACGGTTGGGTGAAACGTCCAAGCAATCTAGCGGCCTGAATAATGAGATTGTTCTTGTGGAGGTGTGATACTGTGGTTACATAGAGGGACCCGGAGGAATAGTGTTAGCATTCGGCCAGGCTTCTATATTGTCTAGTATGTTTTCCCCTCTAAGCCCTGAACCCTACACCCTGACCCCGCTAAAATCCTGCCTTACTCGACAGTTCTTGGAGTCATCATGTCGAGTTGCTTGTCTTGCGGGCCAAGCCTGGGAACGGTGGTTGCGGTTTCTTGGGGCGATCTTGCGCAGAGCTCCGACGATAAAGGGTGAAGTTTGTGGCCTGATATCGCAAACAAATCCGCAGTCCTATAGCCTTGTAATAATATAAGGGCCGTAATAATTGGAAAAGGGTTTTTGGGCATATTGTACTACAGTTGTATTATGTTATAACAAGGAACCTCCCAAATAGTATAGGTAACTAGGTAACGATTTCGGCCTCATGTCTTACTTAAACCGTAAAGCCACAGCTGCAACATTCGAAAGCCGAGATAAGCGGAATCCCTTTTGCAAGCTTACTTGTACCCACAAGGAGAAATAGCTTCGAAATCCCAAAGGGTCCAAAGTACCGATACAGTAGAATGTAGGGTTTCTATACTAGGAATTAATATAATTATGATTTGAGGAAGTATTCCCCATAACAGTACATAGGACCCTTTGGGAATGCAGGCCAGCCAGCCACGGCTCTGCAGAATCCGATGCAACTTTTCGCTGCGCTTCGGCTGATGTCTCTTTCAGTGGTTTAGTCCCTAAACCCAAAACCTTAAAGCCGCAAACCCTCAACCTCAACCATAAATAATACAACATCTAAGCCCCCAACCCTAATCACCTAATCACACAATCCCTCAACCTTCATCCCAAACCCTGAACTCTAACCCTAAATTTTAACCACCCCCCCCCCCCCCCCCCCCCCCCCCCCCCCCACATCTCAGGCCACTGCATTCCACGGCGGCGCCTGGAGAACTGGCTGGAAGTTTGGCACCATCGGCCCGTCCTGTCCTCGGCTGGAGGTTTGGGGTGTTTATAGGTTTTTTTGGGTTTAGGGCTTTTGGGGTTTAGGGTTTCAGGGTTTAGGGGTTTAGGGTTTTACGGTTTAGGGTTTTAGGGTTCAGGGTTTAGGGTATTGGAGCGACATGTAACTAGGGTTCTTCTGAGGGTTCTGTAAGATGGTTGTATGGATTTTGTGAGAATCTACAGGGGTTTATAGGGGCTAATTACGGGGGTTCCGGGGACTCTTACAAAGGATTTTGCGATTCTTTTATCTAAGGGTGCTATACTATACAGCAGAAAGCAAAAAAGTTGGAACATGGCTTTAGGAGGACTAGTGCTAGACCTTAACGGCATGGGGATAATGATGTTCCAACTTTCTGGCTTCTACATAGGCTTCTTCTGGTTTACGGGGGCTTTATCTAAGGGTGCTATACTCTAAACCCGAAACCCCATACAGGCTTCTTCTGAATTTGGGAGGGCTTTGAAAGTTATGTTCAAGTTCCGTGGAGCCTTGGGGTCGACTCGACGTTCCTGGCCGTACTATAGGGACTTCAATAGTTACCGTACTACTGTAGGTGGTTCCTTATAGTTATAGTATAAATGGGCCACAAAACCCTGTTCTGATTCTAAAGGCCCTTATATTATGCAGATTATGGGTGATGTTCACGGTTTTTTGGTCTACCACCAGCTATGATTTGAATTCCAGGTTTGGTTCAGGGTTAGCCGCTATTTCGTGCGGTATGGATGTTCTGGCAAGAGGTTCCAGGCGTTTCAGTGAGTGTCAGTTGATGCTTAGATTCTTTCTTGGTATTGGGGTCTGGGATTTTAGATGTTTCGAGTTCAATGTTGAGTTGAGCTTCGTGCCGAGTGTAGGCAAAGGGCAGTTGGCCAAAACCCAGGCAGGTAGCAGACAGTAGGCAGGAGGACGTAATAGGTAGGAGGTAGTAGGTGGTCGTAGTAGTAGTAGTAGTAGTAGTAGTAGTAGTAGCAGCAGCAGCAGGAGTGGTAGCAGTAGCAGTAGCAGTAGCAGTAGCAGTAGCAGTAGCAGTAGCAGTAGCAGTAGCAGTAGCAGTAGCAGTAGTAGTAGTAGTAGTAGCAGTAGTAGTTTGGTCGGCGTAGTCGTCGTCGTTCGTTGTCGTCGTCCTCGTCGTGGTAGTCCTCGTCGTCGCCGCCCCTCTTCGTCATCTCTTCCCTCGTCTGTGTGGTCCTAGGCACTACCCAGAGGCCCCAAAATAGTTCCTTTTGGGGATTGCCCTCTAGGGTTCTATACATGAACCCAAAAAAGAACTACTTTGGGGCCTTTGGGTACCTACTCAGACCTGCCTTAGCTTCTATTGTAGATTCTTGTTATTTTGGCCCTTCAATTGGAGCAGGTGTCTGTAGTGAATCTTTCTTAGCCTCGAAGGTGCTCGGCCATCGCGTACATCACCACAGGCATGTTGGTGAAATTGTGGCATCTCGGCCGGCGCATGGGCTTTTCTCGCACTGGTGATCCGGAAAGGGTTATCTATGATGCGGATCGTAGAGTTCCGGGTCTATAATAGTAATTAGGGTCGCCTGGATCCTTTTTGGGCCTTGGATCCTACTGGGAAATACGAACTTCGAGTTGAAAGTTGCAAGGGTTTTGGCCTTTTCGAGTTGTAGCTAGGTAGGAGTTTCCGAAATTAGGGGATGCCCCAATATAGTACCCCAAATAGTAGTGTTAGTAGTGCCTGACTTTGAGGTCCTTATAATGAGGATCCTGCTATTCATAGGGTGCTAAATGAGGGTTCCCTAATTTGGGAAACTCCCAGGTCTGCCAAGGTTGGTAAGCCTACTTGGAAGGGCAGGGGACTTAGTAAGTAGGTTATAAGTAGAGTTATAAGTACCCCAAATGGAGTTACCCCAATTATAATCCTACTTATAACCTACTTACTAGGTCCCCTGCCCTTCCAAGTAGAGCCGATGAGATGCAGTGGTACCCGAATGGGTGGTTGTCGAAATTCTGGTCCCTTTTTTTGGGTACCCTCAATATTAGGTGCCGCACTATAATGGGGACCCAGAAAGGGACCCTAGTATTGACACCCACCCGAATGTATTGATGCTGAATCGGTTCCCTGAAACCTGCCCTTTCTGGTGCGTTTTCATTGGTTGTTTCGATGAGACCGCCGAAGATATCTCGGATACACAATTGGCGGTGGGCTTCATGGCGACAGTGAGACATCTCAAACCTAATCCATATTTCAATTTGTCTTGGCATCTGTGATCCGCCATCCAGATAGTACACATTCCACCGTCCGGAGTGTAAGAGGGTTTCGGATTCGCGGGTGGTGGGGGTCATTTAGAGCATGATTCCTTCACCACCTCTTCACCACTGCAGTATAGCCTGCTCCAAGCTATTTGCACTGTAAGTTTTTGGGTCACTGTTGAAAAATCAGGAGTTGAAAGATCAGGAGAACACAGCGAGGGAACCGGACCCTAAGCGGTAGAGTCCCCACACACCAGCTTGTGCTCGAAATCATGGAGATTGGCAAACTGTACCAGCGCAGTTGCGAACTGTTTAGCAACCAAAACCACATTCTCGAGCACCTGGCCGAACGCTAAGCTCTGGGCCCTAGACCTCGCACCTGAAACCTAAATCACCCCAAAATCGATTAGCATCGCTAAACCCCGCTCCCTAAACTATAAACCCTCACCCCCCGCCCCCCCCCCCCTTCCCGAAACAACATCCCTACACCCCCCATCCCAAACCCTAAACTCCTACTTGGAGGGGCAGGGGACTTAGTAAGTAGCTTATAAGTAGGGTTATAATTGGGGTAACTCCATTTAGGGTACTTATAACTCTACTTATAACCTACTTACTAAGTCCCCTGCCCCTCCGAGTAAACTCCTAACCCTCCGCTCCCCGAAGAGGAAGTCAAGAGACCAAGGCTCGTCCTATACTCCGTCATCCAGTGCCTGGGCTGGGCCTACGCACTGCTTCTTCTCCCGGGCGGCCCCCAGAATGCCGACGATGCTTGGTTTAGGGGTTTAGAATACCTGGACCCCAAAAGTATGTAGAATAATAGGCTTTTATAGGTTTTGGACCATGATTTTACCTACTGTTGGGGGTCTAGAATATGACAGTTTCGGGTTTAGTTCAGTTGAGTTTCGGAGTTTTTGGAGATCTAGGGTTGACAGCTCTTAGGGCTTTAGAGTCAGGGTTTAGGGTTTAGGGTTCTAAAGTCAGGGTTAAGAGTTTAGGGTTCTAAAGTCAGAGTTTAGGGTTTAGGGATGTAGTGATTCAGGGTTTAGGAGTTCAGAGATTTGGGGCTCACGGATTTAGGGTTCAGAGTTCAGGGTGTGAGGCTTTAAGATTCAGGGTTTAGGGCTTAGAATGCCGGCGATGCTTGGAGCAGGTTAGCTTGCTGTTCCAGGGTTCAGAGTTAAGAGACTTGGGGTTGAGGTTTTAAAGTCAGGGTTTAGGGTTTAGGGACGTCGTGTTTTAGGGTTTAGGAGTTCAGAGATTCGAGGCTCAGGGATTTAGTGTTTAGCGATCAGGGATTGTTTGTTGATTTAGTGATAAAACAATCGGGCTTTATGCATAGGGCCGATAAACCTTTTTAACTGGTACTCTGTGAACACAGAGTGTCGCATTTTGTCGATCGTCCGCAGCGTCGCCTCTACATGCGGAGACGCGCATGTCCGACGATCTTGTATGGTATATATGTACAGTTTTTGTTCCCGTGTCACAATTACATAGGTACGCGAACGCGTTTTCTTCGCTCAAGTCCTGTTGTTATGAATACCGTTGTAAAACCCTCTCACTATCTCAATTCCGCCAGGCTGCTCTACCATACCCTCAGGAGCACCGTAAACACCGCTCTTACGACGGCCAGTTGTGAGGGCTTAGCAACGCAGTTCGACGCCTCCGAGGTCGTTTTGCAGAGGAGAGGAGGTCGTAGAGGATCCCAGTCTTCGGCCCCTAAGGGTGCCTAATCAGTTACGTATATACATAGGGTTCTATAAGGATGTAGGCTATAGGGTTTAAGGGTCCATGTCCCTAAATAGGATATTATGCTTTGGCCTCAAAGTACTTATATAGGGACTACCTATTTGGGTAAATGGACCCTTCGGGAGGCTTAGACTATGGAAGCAGAAGGACCCTTAAATTGAAAAGCATTCCGCGTGTGACTGTCATGTCCACTTGGTATTCCGCAGTGCTTCAATGACATACCGAAGCTTCTTACAGCAATTGACAAGTCTGGCAACATGCTGCGGCTGGTGCTCCATAGTGGCGGGGAATCAGTTCATTGAGCGTTCGCATGTGTTTTATGCCGCAGGTTGCCTACCGGCTGGTGAATGTACGGGCGGAAGTTGAAGAGCTTGCCAATATGTTGCAGAGTGTTCAGCACCTTGCCATCTCGGATTCCAATCCAAAAGTTGCTTGGAGCGAACGTTGATCAGCGATGGTCCTGCCGGAGCCAGAACCAAGAGACTCCAACATCCCTTAATTGAGGAATATATTCCTCAAATCATATTAAGGATCCTAATAATATAATTTAAGGTATATTCCTTAAATCATATTATTAAGGATCCTAATATAACTTAAGGTATATTCCTTAATAAAGGGGTATTGGAGTCTCTAGGAACTTACTTAAGCTGCAACGTTGCTTCCACCAGCCTACGCTCGCAGCTTGCTCCAGCCATAAACCCTAAACCTTTGTCATAGTTGGGTAACATTTTACAGTTTTATGGGTACTTAAACCCAAGAAGGAATAAACGTGTAAAAATTTTCATCCTATCCCATCCATGAACTAGAAACCCCCACACGTTGACCACGGTGTAGTCGTAGCCCCTACCTGCCAGTCTTGGGTTCAGGTATTGCTCTTCTAAGTCTAAGGAGCCTGTGACAGTTTAGACTGCAGAGATTTCCTTACCTCAGATCCTAAACCATCCTAAATCTACTTTCTGCGCCTTAAACACAAACCTCGTACTCCTCTGGTACGAGCCCAAGGAGATCATCGCGCGATTCACATACTTCCAGATAGCAGAGGTTGTGCATGCAGTGACCGGCATGGCAGCTCGCCCTTCGGTAGGTGTTCGGTTGTTCAGGTTTTAATGGCTTCTGGTTTTAGAGTTGAGGCTTTTTTAGGGGGGGGTTAAACCGCGTGGAAGGGGCATGACAGGGCTTTGGATTTGGGGATGCCGGCTCATTGAGGGCTCGATGCAGTTCGAGGCTTCAGGTGTCCTTAGGAGGTTTGACATGCACTGGGCGATGTGCTGTAGGATCAGGGTCCTTCTGTGTACGATAAGATGATCGACGATAACAGAATATATTAGAATGTATTATCTGCATGTGTTTGATGCACAGACCCGCAGGTTGCAAAAAGGCTCCAGGCTCCAAATCCACAATCTCAGATATCTGGTATTCCTTGCCAACCCACACCCTACCTATATGTCTCCATTGCCGTTCCTTGTTTGGGTTACCTTATAGGATCCTAATCATATATTTGGTTAATCCAAAGAAAGGAACTACAATGGATTTTCCAAAAGCCTCAAACACGTTTTGCGCGAACACCGAAGCCGCATTTGCCATAATTACCTGTCAGCTTTCGTCACAAAACCCGCAAAGCTCTAACACTTAAGCGTCCGAAGACCCTAATCGGACCTGTGGAGTTTAAAGACCCGACATAGCCTAAACTCCTAAACACCTCAAACCCAAAACTTTTCAATCTCAACAGAACCCTCTCGCGCTGAGGTTCCCTCCAATCCCGTCACCACGGCCATGCAGATACTTTCGAGGGTCGGCTTAGTCCAGGCGCAATGGTGTCGTTGGTAGGGGGAGAGGCTGGTTGTTCATGGGTGGTTGTAGGGTCCCTTTTTGGGTCCTTAATATAATACGGCACCTAATATTTAGGGCACCCCAAAAGGGACCATAATTTTGACACCTACCCTCATGTCTCGACACTTAGCACCACACCTTGTCAACTCACACTTCGAACTGCAGCCTAAGGCCTACGACCGGAGGCCTAAACCCAGAACATCCCAGAATGCTACATTTAGGGTTTAGGGTTTAGGGTCCTGGGTTTCAGCCCTATACCCCTTAAGCCCTGACCCCGAAGCCGCAATGTTGACACACCTAAGCTTCGAAGGTGATCAATTTCGAAACTCATACCATTGGCGTGGAACTCTCTTTCTCCGAAGGACCGGCATACTCAAGCAGTGTGTGTGTGTATATATATATATATGTGTGTGTATATATATATATATATATATGTATAGATATAGTGTATGTAGGTATTTTATGTACGATGTATGCATGCAAGCAACATCCACACAGTCACTTCAAGACCCAATCGGATGGTAGATCAGAGGTCCAGGCTTCAGAGAACACTCCTGTTTAGTTAACTTAGGGGCACTTAGAAAAATTTAATGTTTGGTTATTATAATCCCTAAGAAACAGCCAAAATTCTAATTTTTGCTTATAGTTAAATCAGTACACTTTAAGCCTTTTGGGACAATCTGATCCCCAAAATGAACTGAAGGTTTACACGGTTTTGGGGGGCTTATGACCTCAACAGCTGAGTACTGCACTGGCATCTTGATCTCGCCTGCAGGTTGTAGCTTGTGCTACCAGCAGTGCTGCTCGGGAGAAGATGCTGCCATGGATGATCCCATAGCTGCAATGAGGGGTCTTCGACTCTTAAACGTTATCGCGAATTCTTGAATGCACCTAAATCCTAAAGCCTTATAAGACCCAGTAAATCCTAAAGCCGTATAAGATCCAACTCCTACCCTCAGCCCTAAACTTGCCCTAAAGCCTTAAGCCTGAAGCCCTAAACCCTAAAGCTCTTCGTCCTGCACCCTAAAGTCTAAACCCTCAGCTACTCAGGACTCTCTTCTACTACGCCTGGTGCATCACTGAGGTCGTGCGGTATACGCAACAGCACTGCAAATTAGCAGATGTTTCTGCTTCCCGGGCCCCTTGCGGAGGGATCCCTCTGAGCGCTCTTTCACGGGGTTACATTCACAGGTGATTTGTTACACGTTATAGCGAATCCCAGATAGGTGGAACATGGGTTCAGGAGAATAAGTGCCAGGATCCTTCGTTTTTTACCCTAAAGGCATGAGGGTACCAATGTTCCAACTTTCTGGCTTCTACTATAAAGGTTCCGTTAAGGCTTCCACCGGGGTCCTTTACAAGGCTCACCTCCGCATCGTGGGATCTTGCCGCATGCAGTTGCGATAGCTTACTTGGAACGGCAGGGGACTTAGTAAGTAGGTTATAAGCAGAGTTGTAAGTACCCTAAATGGAGTTGCCCCAATTATAACCCTACTAATAAGCTACTTATTAAGTCCCCTGCTCCTCCAAGTAGAGCTGGGAACTGAACTCTCGCAGAAGGGTATTTGGGAGTTTCCGAAAATTATAGGGGGAACCTTATTTTGGGGGCAAAAAAATCAGGATCCAACTATTTAGGACTTAGGATACTATATTAAGGTGCCCCATGTTCGGAAACTCCCATCTAGGTTTCAGGCCCCATGGGTTTAGGGCCGAGGGTTTCGTTGGCGTGAGATGGCTGCCAGCAAGGTTTACAGGAAAGTCAACCTGAGGACCACATACCCTACATCCTAAGTCCAATCCCAGAGCCACTTATAGATGCTAAACCCCAACCCACAATCCTGTACTACACCTGCCCTAAAGTATATCCGAGCCTTGAGCTACTAACCTAAACCCCAAACCCTAACCCCTCGCCCCACCAAATCTTCAGGTATTACGCCTTGAACACCTTCGGCGTCCAGGTTTTCCCCCTGAACCTCGGCTGCTCATAGCTGCAAGAGGTCGGAAGCACCCTAATATAGAGCCACACATATATCGATTCATGATAAGTCTTAGGGTTCCTTGCTATAAATATATTCTATAAAGGAACACAAAACCCCTATTCTCATCATTAAGGCCCCCAACCCTAAACCCCGAGCGGGCGATCCAAGTGATGCAAGGCAGTGTAGGGCTGCTGACTAGTACTAGTATTGTGATTGCTGGTGTTTCTTGGCGTTTGGGGTTTAGGGATATTTTACATTTCCCCACTTAAGAGGATCCTATGAGGCTTCTCTAAGGGCCAACCGAGACTAGCACCGCATGTTGTCGTACATGCTCGGAATCCAGAGGGATGGTGAGTTGTTTGCAAGGCCGAGCTGAGGATTGAATCACAAAACATTTTTTGGGTTTAGGGTTTCATCATAATATTTCATGTGCGATTCGTGTGTTCTCCAGGAATTTCTCGTTCCACTCTTGGTCACGGAATCCGCAGGAAGTCCCGTCGCATGCTCATGTTTGGCCATGAAAGCAACACCAACCTAACCTGGACCTCAAATAACCCGCCTTTTCTCAGGGTTTGCATAAGGAAATCATAATCGGGAGCCTTGAAAAGGAAGGTTTTATAGGGTCCAGGAAGAGCTGGAAGCAGACCCATCAAGCTATGCAGGACCAGAGCGGAGTGGAGAGTCCATCAAGATATACGGGGCATGAGCGTGGAGCTTTTAGGTCAGATGGGTGCTTCTCAAGGCCTGGTGGACCCTAAACCCGAGGAGCCAGAGGAGGAGACGGGCGCCGAGGCGCCAAGCCTGAAGAAGCTGCAGCTCAATATGCGCGCGTGGTGGAAGAGGACGAATTTCGGTTTAGGGCTTGGGGTTTAGGGTTTAGGGTTTGGCTTTTGCAAGCCTCGTCCGACGGTGAGTTGATTAGCACGGCGGTGTGGACGAATCCCGCGCCGGTAGAGGCGGAACCTTGACAAGGGGTTGCCTGCGGCTCTAAACCGACGACCCCCTTAACGCTGGACCCTACTTGGTGGGGCAGGGGACTTAGTAAGTAGGTTATAAGTAGGATTATAATTGGGGTATCTCCATTGAGGGTACTTATAACTCTACTTATAACCTACTTACTAAGTCCCCTGCCCTTCCAAGTAGAACCCTGAAGCCTGGACCCGAAAGGACCTGGATCTTCTCGATTAATGTTGGCTTCGGTTCCCTGGTCCCTAATCCTATAGTCTCCTTAGGAATTATGGTTTTAATCTTTGTCAGCTTAATCAACATAAAACCCAAAAGAATATCAAAACTAATTTGTCTTCATTGTGGTTCTAAGGGGGTATAGAATCAAGTCTGAACCCTACATAAATCTAGAAAACAATCAACAACGAATACTTAACCCTGACCCTTAAACCCTAGGAGCCATGTAGAGTACACCCTAGAAGCCATCATGCCTGAACCCTTGGATTGCTTGAACCTTGTAGTGACCTAAGGCAGGATCCTAAATCAAGAAACCTCGCAGACTTTTATTTAGTTTCAGGATTTCAGGGTTTAGGGTCTACAGGGCTAGATAATCCCTGAACCCTAAACTAGCTTATATGATTAGCACTCTTCCGTGCCACTATCACAACGATCACCATCACCATCATCAAACTGGAATTTCCCTAAACCCTAAACCCTAAACCTAAACCCCTAAGAAAGCCCGAAGCTCCTCAAGACCACGCTTGTCGCCACGAGCTCAGGACGTGGCTTCGATACTCCACTTTCCTGATCCTGTACCCCTTGGGCGTGACAGGTCCCGCGTTTCAGGGCTTGCAGGGCGGATGAGGTTTGACTTCGAAAACCCTAAACCCCAAACCCTAAACCCTAAACTATGGTTTCTACCACTCTGCCAGTGGGCTGAAGGCGGTAGGTGGCATCAGGTCCAGCAGTTTGCAGCACCTGACCTTCATTCGGACATGCGCTTTCAGCTTGGGAAAAGTGCCAGGCAGTGGCCTTGACAGCTAGGTACATGGTCTAAGCCCGAAACCCTAACCCGTAAAACCGTAGCCTTACCCAAAGGCCCCCAAAAAAGTTCTTTTTGGGGTTCATACATAGAATCCCCAAAAAGGAACTACTTTGGGCCTCTGGGTAAGCCTGAAACCTAACCCCTTCCACGGCTCCCAGCCCTCTGAAAGTCGACCACAGAGCAAAAGCCTGTCCTGTAAGCCAACACTGCACATCTGCCTGTAAGGGCTTGGGAACTACCAGTGTAGTTCCAATCTTATAGTAGGGATCCGAAAAAGGTAACCCCAAAAAGGAACTACAATGGAGACTATAGGTAGGGTTGGTGATGTAAATCCTGCATTACCCGTAAGAAGGAATATACCATAATTCCCATAGTTTAGAACAACTAAGGTAATGCAGGATTTATATCATCAACCGTAGGGTTTGTTCGGGGATCGGCAGGTATGATAGCAAGAAGCATCACTACCATCATGTGTTCACCACTGCTCCTCATTACGCAAGGGAGACGTAGCCACGACGAGCATGACCAGCGCAAGACTGTTGGTTGCAATACCAACCCTAAGCCCTAGACCCCCGCTCCTAAAATTACTAAAGGGCCAAAGCCCTACACCTCTGAGCTGAGTGGAAGGTGAGCTTGGCACTGTCTACTCCGCACTGCCGGAGATGACGGACATGGCTGCCAAGGCCGGAAAATGGAAGCGCGAATCTGAATCATACCGCTTCATAGTATATACTCTGGCCGCCTGGCCCCAAAGAGAGCTCTGTAGGTTTTTTTGGGGGGCAAAAGCATATACTATTTGAGCGCATGGACCCTCCTTTCGCGCTCATGCTCTGGTTGAAATTTGCCGTCTGGCCAAAACGGACCCACCTTAAACTACCATAACCTACTTTCTTTTGTCTGTTCTTATTATAAACCCCAAAAATGGGATTTGGGACCCTGCAAAAAAAGTAGGTTTCGGTGGGTTAAGGTAGACTTTGAGCCCGACTACTTCTCAAACCTACCTCTAGTCTCCATTGTAGTTCCTCTTTTTGGTTTAACCAGTTTTATGGTTATAGGACCCTATAATGGAGATTTTGGTTAACCAAGCAAAGGAACTACAATGGAGAAGATTGGTAGCCCTTTAACTCTGTGTCTCGGGCTCAAAGTTACAATCTGCACCGCATTGTCAGTGTCCATAGCTAAGCAGTACCAGGGAAAAGAACAACAATCAACAGTCGTACTGATCATCCGAAATACATAGTACCCATGTCGCTAATGATATTCGTGAACTGAAAGATCAGTGGTCATGCGTCTTTGCAAGGAGAGAAGCATGCAAACACCTTAAACCCTAAGTTCTAATCACACCACGTTATATCAACGAATCACGCTCGAAATCGTAAGCCCAAGACACAGAAGAAGAGCCGCTGAGATATTTTAACGTTGTTCAAACAAGCCAGCACACATATACAGATGAAAAGCAAACAGGCAATCAAACAGACAAACACGCAGACTAACAAACAGACGAGCTGTGAATATGCGCAGACATATTATACCTGCAACAAAAACTGTCAGACTCGGGTGTAACAACTTCCGTACCCTAGGCCCCAAAGTAGTTCTTTTTTGGGTTTACCCTATAGGATTCTATATATGAGCCCCCAAAAGGAACTACTTTGGGGCCTTTGGGTAGTGCTTCTTTGCAAACGAAAATTCGTGCGCAGGGCCCATGCGGGCTGGCTTGTGGAACCATTGCCGTGGCTTCGTTCCGATTAGGCTTCACCTGCAGCTTGGACTTAGGGTTTAGGGTTTTTTGAGATCAAGGTTAAGAGTCTAGGGTGTAGGATTTGGCATTTTGAGTTCAGGGTTGGGAGGGTTCTCAGAAGTAGGGGTTGGGGCTTTAGTGCTTGAAAGTGTACGGTTTGGGGTTGAAGGGTGTGTCAGGGTTGAGTTGGCGTAGAGTTTAGGGATCCATCGGCTTAGGGTGTAATTACATAAGGTGCTGAGGGTTTAGGGTTTATAGGATTTAAGATTAAGGTGGAGTTTGAGCCATTGCAGGAAGACAGTTTGAGTGTCGTTGACCCAGCTCGACATCCCTCGGGCTCTAAGCATCACCAAAAACCCTGAGACCTGCAAACTTCGCGGGCCCATGGCTTCACACAGCCCGGTCCTTTCCTGGCCCAGATCGCAGCAGCCCGACTATGTAGAGTCTGCATGACAGGGCGCAAAGACCTCAACTCCAAACGTCTTCCACAGACAAACGGTCTTGAACCCAAACAGCTGCAGTAAGAACGCCAACACGGAAGGGCCGACCCTAACTGGTGGTTGTCAAAATCAGGGTCCCTTTTTGGGGTACCCTAAATATTAGGTGCTGTATCATACTAGGGTAAAAGGGACCCTAATTTTGACAACCACCCATACAAGGAATATACTTCTTAATTAGGATTATATACCCTAAACCCTAAAATTCTAAATTCCTTAAATTCCTTAATTGCGGAATATTGAAGTCTCTGACAACCACCCCAACTGTCAGATCCGAATTCCAGGCTTGCTTGGTGTGTATCTGCTGGGATTCCCGCTTCTTTTCGGCCCCTCGGCCTCCTTTAAGGGTTCCTTTATGGTTCTTACAACCTTTAGGGTACTTAGAAATACTTTTTAATTTTTGGTTATTATAATCCCTAAGAAACAGCTAAAATTACAATTGTTGCTAGGGTTCTACTTTCAGTATAGTTTTAAGGGTTCCTTTATGGTTCTTACAACGGTGTCGCAGTACGTGTTGGAATCCATCGATCGTGCTCGAACTTGACCCCTATAAACCCTAAACCTTTGTCATAGTTGGGTAGCACTTTGCATTTTTTATGGGTACTTGAACCCAATACGGAATCGAAATGTACGTTTTTAATCCTATCCCAACAATGAACTAGAAACCCTGCTAAACCTGAAGGTGTAGGATCTGACGTTCAGAGCGACGCCTTAGCCTTCCCCGGTTCCCGCTGTGCTCGAGATTCCCAGAGACTTCAGTGTTTAGGGAAAGACTCAAAAAGGCATTATCTTGTCGTGGGACATTATGGGAGCTTCCGAAAATTAGGGGTACCTTATTTGGGGTCCCTTATAATGAGGACCCTTTTATGTAGGGTACTACATTAGGGTCCCTTATTTTCGGAAACTCCCATATTGATGTCGATGAGATTTTTCGCTTGACGCATCCATCTATTGGATCTAGAGAGGGCTCCTAAACCCTAAACCCTAAAACCCTAAACCCCTAAACCCCTAAACCCTAAACCCCTAATCCCTAAACCCCTAAATCCGAAAACCCTAAACCCTAAACCCCTAAACCCTAAACCCCTTTCAGTGGGGGAGTGCCGTAGAGACTTGGGTCTTGGGAAGGCACAGTCACCGAAGCCCTCAGTGTGTCTTTGTACTTAAGTAAGATTGAGGGTCATAGGGTTTAGGGTTTATAGGGCATAGGGTCTAGAGTCTAGGGTTGAGGGTTACAGGGTTTAGGGTTTATAGGGTTTAGGGTTGAGGGTTACAGGGTTTATAGGGTTTATAGGGTTTAGTTAGCGCCGTCCGGAAAAATCATTGCTCCTTTGTGCGGTAATGAAAGCTTGAAAGGTCTGAACACACGTTGCAGTTCTCATTTTGGGTGAACGGGGATCCTTTGCGTTACTATATTATTAGGGTTTAGGGTTTAGGGTTATATACAGTAGATACTCAGACCTTCCATATTTTCAAGTGGTAGTTCCCGAGCCGAATGCTGCAGGCCGGAGGGTGACTTGTTCTTAGTTCTTTTGGTAAGTGTGTATCGGTCACCCTTTGAGCATTGGCGAGTGTTTACTTGTGGTTTCATTCTTGGAGTTCTCGCTAAAAGCTCTACTTCAGACACATACGCTACCTGAACCCTGACACCTGAACCCTAACCCCCTAAACCCTAAAACCCTAAACCCCTAAAGCCTAAACCCTTACAAAGTCCCCTGGAGGCACGATGCTCGCGCAGAGGAAGAAGGTGCTGCGGAGATCGAACTTTGGCAGAGCCTTTGGGGTTTCGTGGGTTTAGGATTCTGGGTTTGGGGTTTAGGGGTTTAGGGTTTAGGGTTTTGGGGTTTAGGGTTTTGGGGTTTAGGGTTTTGGGTTTAGGGTTTTGGGTTTGGTGTTTTGGCTTTAGGGCTTCCTCGAGGGTTGGGGATAGGGGCGAAGGGCGTAAGCTAGGGCGCCACAGGGCTCTTAGTTAATTCAGTTATATGTAATACCTTAAGGTACCCCGAAGCTGTACTCTAATTAAGAAGGTCCCCAGATTAGGGTGTACTATGCTATCGGACTAAACCCTAAACCCTAAACGCTAAACCCTACACAGGGTGTCGGGTTTTGAGCCCGCTCGGTGATTTCGGTTGTCAAGGCTTTCAGTGCTTTCGCAGCAGCTTGAGTTCGCCCAAGGCAGGTGCAAGTAAGAACATGCAAAAAGAACAGAGGTATTGGCACGCAGTTTAAGGCATGGGGCAGGGCACATAATAATTTCCTATCTAACGCATGCCAAGGACTCCATGGACCTCCAAACTGAAACTCAGATCCAGAATCTTGGATCTTGAAACCTACAACCAAACAGGGTTTGAGGTCTTGCGTTGTAGGTTTAGGATTTAGGGTGCTAGCTTCAGGGTCTACCGTGTTGGGTTTAGGTTGAGGCGTTGGGTTTAGGGCAGAGGGCCATCGGGTTTTAGTGTAGGGTCCCGCATCAGCTCCCCATCAGTCCGGAATCCAAGATCCGTGGGCGCCAAGAAGAAGTCTAACTGATTGGACAGTGAGTGCTGCGATGCTCTCTTGACATAGGTAATGTAGGGGCCTTAACAATTAGAATATGGTTTTGGGGCGCCCTTATACTATAATCATATTAAGGAAGCCCCAAACTAGTATAGGTAATTATTGAGGCACTTACATTACCTGCAGGGTTTTAGTCAGGTGGTTTATGGAGCTGATAGGGGCTACAGGGTATACAGACCCATCAAGTCAAAAGAGCCACCAAGCAGTCTGCTGCGCCCCGACAGCGACTATAGTTTAGAGCTCAGCTCCTATCTCTGGATGCGCGGAATCTGGTTTACGGGTTTCAAGAACCCTAAAACAAATTCTAACTAAACCTGTAAACCCCTATAAGCCCTATAAACCCTATACACCCTGAACTGAACGAACCCGATTAGACGCTGAGTTATCGTACTGTACACCGGAGCGATGTAAACCAAAGTCTTGGAGCAGTCTACTGCAGGGCTTCTACTTGGAGTGTCCTATTTTCTGAATTTATGTATACCTGTGAGTCTTGAGGTGCAATGTAGGAGTCGGAAAAACCAGCAATACTATTTCTAAGGGCTTCGCATTACAATTCTACTATATGTACTCCCAAACCCTGTTCAATTTATTGAAGGTCCTGCATGAGGGCCCCCCCCCTCGTTTCGGCAGCCAAGACAGAGACTTTGCGTTCTAGGGATTAGATATTAGTCGGGCCTTGTGGGTGGGATATCCCTGCCTTCCTGGCTTACTTCAAGAGAGGTTTATGGGATATGTACATCCCCACCTTATGGTTTTGCTTAGGCACCCTAAACCCTAAACCCCTAAACCCCTATTCCTAAAGCCTAAACCCTAAACCCCTAAACCCCTAAACCCCTTAACCCCTTAACCCCTTAAACCCTAAACCCGGGTTATTCGGTGCTTCTTGTCTTTGGGTCCCAAGCTAAGGGCTTTGGGGTTGAGGGGATTGCGATTCGTAGCCAGCTCTGGCTCGGAGGGGTTCACTTTGGGATGAGGGTTTTAGGGCTTAGGATTGGGATAGGATCTAGGGCTTTAGGCTGTCAGGGTTTAGGATTGGCATAGGGTTTAGGGTTTAGAGTTTAGGGTTTCAGGGTTTAGGATTGGTATAGGATTTAGGGTTTTAGGGTTTGAGGGGTTCTGGCAGGGGTTCTGGCTTTAGGATTGGTATAGGGTTTAGTGTTTAGGGTTTGAGGGTTTAGGATTGGTATAGGGTTTTGGGAGTTATAGGGTTGAGGATGGATTGTGTAGGGTTGCCTGTTCTTTGTCTTGGCTGCTCCGCGACTCGGCGACAGAGAATGTTGATCGATTTGGCGACACCTGCTGCGGTTTGAAAGCATCGCTTCGGGCAGGATTTTGCTGCGTGACAGGTTTCCCCAGCAACCCAAATCCTCAGATGTAGTTCTTCTGATACATCGGGAGGAGCCTCCATCTTAGGCTATCCCTTCAAAGATAAACTTACGGGCATAAGACTCTAAAAGCCTGGAGCAAACTAGAGTCTTGCACCTGGCTGAGACAACACATGATTGCAGTTTGTTGTTTGGGGGTTGGGAAAAATACTACTATCCTGTCAGTGGGCTTCAGAAGCTCTCTTTATTACGTCCTCCAAGAAGAGCCTATTCAGCAGGGTTCCTTTCATCTAGACAGTCTACCAGAAGACTTCGTTCCAACTGTTACAAAGGTCCTTTTACAGCTTGCCCGCCTTGACTTCCGAAACTGCGACGGAACAACCCTTCACATTGTATAGAGCAACATGCTGCAACCCTGAGCCTGAAGATGTTGGATGAAAGCCATTCGTAAAGTTCTGAGACCTACTACTACTACTACTACTACTACTACTACTACTACTACTACTTCTACTACTACTACTACTACTGCTACTACTACTACTACTACTACTACTACTACTACTACTACAGTTGTTGGTGCGCCTGTACCGAAACTCGCCACCCCGCGAAGAAAGCCCTCCACCCTGCTCAGAAAGCCCCTAAGCCCACAGTGGACTCGAAGTATAAATCCCAACAAAGGCCTGCAGCAACTACAGAACCCGATGCAAATTCAATTGTAAAAATTCAACAGTGCTGTAGTATGGAAACTGAACTGAGATACCTCTAGTCTCCATTGTAGTTCCTTTTTTTGGTTTGACCAGTTTTAGGGTTAGGACCCTATAATAGAGATTTTGGTTAACCAAACAGAGGAACTACAATGGAGACTATAGGTAGTTTCTAGCTCGCCAGGTGTGGCCTCTATGACTGCCGGGTACGCCCCGCTTCGATTCCCCGCAGCAGGGTAATGTAGGCCTTGGGTTTGGGGGCTTTAGGGGTTCTCAGGGCTCCAAAAGGATAGAGAAGGTTTTTGCTGGGTTCGTTTGTTTTGTTTGCTTGATTTCCTCATATCCCACCATGGCTACTGTTTCAACAAAGCACAAGGTGGATTTGTAGGGCCTTCAGAATTCAGTGCTTGATCCGTCAGCTTGGGATCGCCCATAGTTCCGGTCTTCAGGTTCCGGGTGCAGGTGCATCGCGGTCAACAAGAGACACCCAACAGCGCAGGAATACTTCACGGCCCCACCTACCCAAAGGCCCCAAAGTAGTTCCTTTTCTTTTTGGGGTTCATATATAGAATCCTATAGGGCAATCCCCAAAAGGAACTACTTTGGGGCCTCTGGGTAAGCCTTGAAATTCGTAAACCCCAAGCCCTAAAACAACCCTGAAACCCCAAAGCTCCATCTGCGAGTTTCCGAAAATAGGGGGACCCTACAGTAATATAGTACCCGAAATACTATAATGGTTCCTGTAAGGGATCTATTAGGATTTAAGGTTTAGGGTTTGGGAGTTTCCGAAAATAGGGGCAGCCTGATATAGTACCCGACATATAGTAGGATCCTTACTATAAGGATCCCCGAATTAAGGTACCCCTAATCTTCGGAAACTCTAAACCCCAAACCCTTTATAGAACCCTTGTAGATCCCTTTAAGGAACCCTTTAAGGATCCCTTTAATAGAGGTACCCCTAATTTTCGGAAACTCCCATATTGGGTAGTTTGCAGCACCTACCAAAGCACGGCTCCACTTGGGTCCTCCAAGGCAGCAGAGCCCCGAGACGCCAGACCTGAACTCCGTGTACCCAGAGACTCCAATATCCCTTAATTAAGGAATATTCCTTAAATTATGGTAGGACCCCTTATATGATTTAAGGTATATTCCTGAATTAAGGGATATTGGAGTCTTTAGGTAGCGTTGCGGCTCTAGGGTTCAGGGTTTTACGGTTTAAGGGTCTAGGGTTTAGAGTTGTAGGGTTTAGGGTTCAGAGTTTCAGGGTTTAGGGTTTAAGGTTCTATAGGGTTCAGAGTTTTAGGGTTCAGGGTTTTAGGGTTCAGGGTTTAAGGTTTTAGGGTTAGAGTTTTAGGGTTTAGGGTTTAGATTCAGGGTTTAGGGTTTAAGGCTTTAGGGTTTGGAGTTTCAGGGTTTATGGTTCAGGGTTGAGGGGTTTAATTAGGGCTTAGGGTTGTGGCTTTGAGGTTAGGGTTCAGATCAGAACTGAGAGTCCAGGATTTACAGCGCTTGGGGATGTTCGCATATGCCCGCTCCAGTTCGGCTCCATGCTCAGCAGGCTGTTTGCCCACATAGGAGTGTAGCACTCGATCGATGCCCTGCATTGGTAGCCAGTCTTTCCACGCGATCTTCAGCATTTGCAGCTCTTGTGCTCTTCCAGCCTTGCATGGTGCCAGCACTGAAAACGATATTCAGCACTATATTGAGATTGCTTTTGTGACTCGTACCACCTTCCCTTCTGCCACGAAAAGGGCCAGAAAACCCGCTACCCTGGCACACCCCCAACCCCCGGGCAGGGCAGCTTAGCATGACCATTTACGATTCATCATTAGGGCTCCTGGCTCTCTGGGGGCTTCGAAGCTACGAGCTTTAGCTTGCTGCACCGACCGGCAGCTGCCGTAGGAGTCTCAGCACTGCTCTTCAAAGGGGAAAAGGAGGGACTCTTAATGGGGACCCCTACCCCATAATGGGCTATATGATGGGTATATACTTGCTATATTAAGGGTATATACCTAGGGGTCCTTATGAAGGGTCCCTGCTTTTACCCTTGGAACTCAACTCTAGGTTCTTGATGAGGAGCTTAAGTCACCGGAACTGAAGAGCTCTATGGGTTTACAGGGGTGTTGAGTTTACAACTTGTATGGGTTTATGGGCATTCTTTGAGGTGTTATCTTGAGCGAGTTTCTTGAACGAGTTTCATTCAAGCTACCAGGACAAGGATGCACTGTACATGAATTGCGTTCTTTTTCCTTGAGGGTCCAAGTGCCTTAAATAGTCAGATACGCTCTAAATACTAACCTACATTATACTATCCTGAACCAGGGTGCCCTATTAGTACACTATACTACTATCCTGAACACACGTACCCTATTGCCACACTATACTATCCTGAACCCAAGTACCTTATTAATTACTGGGTCCTTTGGACCCTTAAGGGTTTGGAAGCTGCACAAGCTTCTGCAGCGGGCTCTCCAGAGACTTCGAGGATTCAGGTCCCTAAACCCTTAACCCTTAACCCGCCAAGCAGAGGAAAGGTAAGTTTTCGGGTTCCTTGACAAGGGAAACCTAGAGTTTGGGGGGGGGTTCCGGAAACCTAACGGGTTCAAGCCCTCAAATTCTTCGACTCTTCGTGCACCGCAATGTGCGGTTTATGGTTTGGATCTATAAGGGTCCTATAAGGGAAGTAAGGAGTATACCTTAAGTTATAGTAGGATCCCTAAAGCCGCAAAACCCTCACATCCTGAACCTCAAAGCCTGGAGCCTCTGACACGCGAATAGTCGGAATCATTACCAACACTCCTCGTTCGGGCTCATGAAGGCAGTTATGCTTTGGGCACTGCCTTAATATTAGCCCTGTTATAGACTGTTACTGTATGGGGGCAGTACCCAAGTTATAGATTATACTGATACTGTAAGAGTAGGCTACACCCAGACCCCCGGGAGG